GCAAGACCAGATTAGCAAAGCTAGATCAGCAAGACCAGATCAGCAAAGCCAGATCAGCAAGACCAGATCAACCGGGCCAGATCAACAAGGCCGATTCAATACAAATCGGCCGCGCGACATTTTTCTCTGCGTGACATTTTTCAATACAGACGCGATTCAGAACTTGCGTGGCTGTTGTGATCTGACGATGCGTTTCGCTCTTTTGATCCCTGTCGTGATTCATAATGATTCCACATTTGTTCCGCGGTACGGTCCGTGACCTGTCGTGATCCCCGCATCTGATGCAGTTGCCAGTTTTTGAGACGCCTTCTAAAAAAGTTGTGTGAGGAGTCTACTGTTGAGGCGCCTAAAAATTGACCTGTCGTGATCCCCGCATCTGATGCAGTTGCCAGTTCTGCAAACTTCCGTCGGTCCGATCGTGGCTTGTGACGGTTCAAAACACCTGTCGTGATCCCCGCATCCCATGCAGGTGCCGGTTCTGCAGACCCCCGACGGTCCGATCTTCGAGAGCAACGCCATTGCCAAATACGGTACGCGATGCAAGGCCTTGATCCTTCGAGGGGTTTTGCTCCGTTAGATTCTGAAGTCACCCCAGGACCTTGATCCCTCGAGAGTTTTGCGCCGTCGGATCTGCAGGATCTCGACGGCCTGATTTAGAGCGACGCGGCCACTTCAAACCGCCAATTTCCTGTTTTTCTCCACTGTTTCGGTCTTGTTGATTTATCTTGTGGACTTTTCTTCGTTCTCCCTGGCAGTTGCCAAGTCGTCTGATAAAGGCCTCGTCGGGACATCCGTTTACGAAACGGTATGATGAATTGGATCCTCTATATTTGTTTCTCTCTCTGCCGTCCAGCTTGTATTCGCTCTTAATTCCGTGCGTGCCGCTCTTTAAATGTTTCCTCGTCATTGGTGATTGTAGCTACGTTTATGTTCAGCTTGACTTGCTGATGGTCTAGTCAGTCGCGGATCGAACGGATCGGATGATGGCTTTGTGATTCGGCTGAGTTTTTGCGGAGATTTTGGCTGATATTTCTGGGTTTTTTTTCGCTGATTTTTTCACCCCTGTTACGTTTTGCGTTCTCGCCCGGTTCTGGCAGGCGTTGATCGACCAATGGATCGATTTCACGACCAACGAGATCGACGCGCATCTCTGGAGGTGGTTCGCTCCGTACTACGGCTACGGCAACAAGGTTCAAGAGGTACCTCCTCCTCTTCTTCCCCTCCTCTTCTTCCCCTCCTCCTCTCCTTTCCCTCCTCCCCTCCCCCATCTTCCGCCCCCTACTGGTTCAAGAGGTACCTGCCGTCCCGGCTCTATGCTAGAGTGATTATCTAGCGGCGGTTCGCTCCGTACTACGGCGACAGCGCCAAGGTTCAAGAGGTACCTTCCCTCCCTCCACCCCCTTCCTCCCCGTCATCTGCTTTGGACGCAAGTAATCGATGCTGGGGCTGGCAGTGACCACCATGATGGTAGATGCTTGGCGAGGCAGCGGCTCGGAGAGCTCGAGCGTAGGTGGATGAACCCTGGTTTTGGTTAAAACCAGGATGAATTAGTTTCGGCGTGTGGAAGCCGTCATCAGCAGCTGCTTTGGACGAGAGTAATCGATGCTGGGGCTGCTAGGGATCCATCTGACGCTGGTTCGCTCCTTGCTACGGCCACGCCGCCGAGGTTCAAGAAATACCTCCCCTCAGTCTGGCCTCCCTGAACTCGCACGTCGACTCCCGCACATTCCTTTCCGCTCTCCCTTTGCCTTTCTACCAGTCCTCTTACCCGCTTTTCACCCTCCCCCCTTTCCTCCCCCTCCCCTCCCCCCTCATACTTACCCCACCCCAATCCTTTTTCCCTGGCAGACGGAGGACAAGGCTATGGAGACCTGCACTGGCCCTGCCTCCCTCAACTCGCATCCCCCCTCCACCGTGTCTCCCTCCCCCCGCCCCCTCGCCTGCCCCTCGCCCCCGCTTGCTCCACGCGGTTTTCCCTGTCAGGTGGAGGACAAGGCGAAGGAGGCGTGCAAGCGCGGCCTGGCCTCGCTCAACTCCCACCTGGAGTCGAACACCTTCGTCGTTGGTAACCGGGTTACTCTCGCGGACATCGTCGCCGTTTCGCAGCTGTGGACGGGGTACATCACGATGTTTACCCCCGAATTTATGAAGGAATTCCCCCACGTGGACCGGTTCTGGAACACGCTGATCAACCAGCCTAAGGTCAAGAAGGTCATCGGGGAGGTCCAGCAGGTGCAGGCTCAGCCCACGGGCGTGACCACGTGGTTCGAAGGACCAATCGGGAAGCTCCAGGCCGCCGCCGCTCCCAAGGCCGCCGAGCCCGTTGCTAAGGTGAGATGAGATCTCTGCTAGGGGCTGACTCTTTCTGCTAAGGTGGTATGAGATTTCTGAAGGTGACTCAAGGGAGGGATACTTGTCGTTTCCTGCCGCCGCGGTGGGGCGGTTTGGCTTCGGGAGGGTGCGTGTCGGGAGTTGGGGTTAGGGGTGGGTCGGGGTGTTGGGTTGGGACGTGGGATGCGGATGGGGGTATAGGAGGGCGGTGAAGAGGGAGAGGGAGAGGGTGGGAGCGTTTTTGGCCGTGTTGTGTGAAGGGATGGAGCGCGTGGGTGTGGGTGTGTATGGGAGAAGGCTTTAAAGTTTAGGCAAGCAGCCCGCTCTTCCCTCCCACGCCCGCTGCAGCAGCAGAGGGAGCGGCATGGGAGGACGGGGGAGGATGGGGAGGCGCCGAAGCCCAAGGCGAAGAACCCCCCCTGGACCTGCTGCCGCTCAGCCCCAACCCCTGCTCTCTTTCCCCCTCCCTCCCTCCCTCCCTGTCCCCGTACCCCTTCCCACCCCTTCCTCCTTTCCCCTCGGTACAGCCCGCCGCTGCAGCAAGGTGACTTTTGAGTCGACTCAGAAGTCACCTCTCTCCCCTCGGTACAGCCCGCCGCTGCAGCAAGGTGACTTTTGAGTCGACTCAGAAGTCACCTCTCTCCCCTCGGTACAGCCCGCCGCTGCAGCAAGGTGACTTTTGAGTCGACTCAGAAGTCACCTCTCTCCCCTCGGTACAGCCCGCCGCTGCAGCAGTGGACGCAGGGGAGGAAGGGGAGGCGCCGAAGCCCAAGGCGAAGAACCCGCTGGACCTGCTGCCGCCCAGCCCTAAACCCTGGTCCCCGTCTGCTTCCCACTCCCTCCCTCCCTGTCCCCGTCGCCCTTCAACATGAATTATCAGCCTGCTGCAGCAGCAGCGGACGAAGGGGAGGAGGCTGAGGCGCCGAAGCCCAAGGCGAAGAACCCCCTGGACCTGCTGCCGCCCAGCCCGATGATCATGGACGCGTGGAAGCGGCTGTACTCCAACACCAAGGCCAAGGACTTCCGCGAAGTGGCCATCAAGGGTACGTTAAAGGGAGGCGAAGCGACGTTTGAAGATGGGAAGGATGAGAGGGCATAAAGTGTTGGCATGAGGTGATAAACGCCTGGAAGCGGCTGCCCTCCTGGACCAAAGCCATGGACTTCCGCGAAATTGGCGATCAAGGGTGGTGGTGAGCTAGGGGGGAGGGCAAGGGGGAGAGGGGCAAGGGTGGCGAGCTAGGGGGAGAGGGACAAGTGAGGGAGGGTTTGGACATGATAGTATGTTGCGAACTTACATGGGAAGGGAGAAAGTGTGCGAGGGAAGGGAAGCGACTGTAATTTAACACCAAAGCCAAGGACTTCCTTGAAGTTTATTAAGGGGACAGTAGTGATTGCCAGAGATGCATTTCGGCGTTGAGAGATTTCTGAGAATTCTCAAACATTTCCGCACTGCACTTGTCGCCCTCACCGCATCCCTTGCTCCCTGCTGTCCCCTCTCCCTCCCCCCCTAAAAAAAAAAAAAAAAACCCATCCAGGCTTCTGGGACATGTACGACCCTGAGGGCTATTCCCTGTGGTTCTGCGACTACAAGTTCAACGAGGAGAACACCGTCAAGTTCGTGACGCTGAACAAGGTGTCGGGCTTCCTGCAGCGCATGGACCTCGCGCGCAAGTACGCCTTCGCCAAGATGTGCATCCTGGGGCCGGACGACGGCCCGTTCGTCATCAAGGGCGTGTGGCTGTTCAGGGGACCGGATGTGCCCCAGTTTGTCATGGACGAGTGCTACGACTGCGAGCTGTACGCGTGGACCAAGGTGAGAGGCCGAGGCGGGTCGAATCAGGGCTCGAGAAGGGGCTTTTAGGCAGGTGAAACCGTGGTTAGCAGGGGGTTCTGACGCAGTGCGAAGGGTGAAGGGAGGTGGTGGTATGGGGCAAGTACGCCTTCGCCAAGATGTGCATCCTGGGGCCTGACACCGGCCCGTTCGTCGTCAAGGGCGTGTGGCTGTTCCGGGGGGCGGATGTACGGCAGTTTGTCATGGACATCTGAGGGTCGTTCGTTCACCCCAACTAAACCCTCCTGTCCTTCCTCTCAAATTTCCTGCCTCTTCCCCCCCTATCCAGGTGGATCTGTCTGACGCCGTCCAGAAGGAGCGTGTGAGCCAATACTTCGAGGAGCCTGACGAAATCGACGGGCTTGTGCTGCAGGAGGCCAAGTGCTTCAAATGAGTGGGCTCTATGGAGGAGAGGCAGGCTGGGTAATCACTTGGTCTTTGTTCCCAGCTGGTAGGCCCTCTGCACTGTAGCAAATTTTGCCAGAAATCTAGGGATTGTTTTAGTGCAATGCCAGCCTACCGTGTTGTGCCAAAGTTTGCAATGCGAAAGTTATGATCAACGAGATGGACCTGGTGTTGTCTAGCGATCCGAAGTAGAAATCCGCGTGTGGGAATAACGCGTATGCTGGACACGCAGTCCACGATTGAGCTCAAAATTGCGCGCGGAAGTGTACCGTTGTCAAATACCTGTCAGTGGTTCAGAACCGTACTGCGCCGCAGCACACCAGCTTCTACCCTGTTCTGAGTGAACCGCCAGGGTCAAATCTGGCACAGAGAAACAGACTTGAGATGGATATTTAGTCTGTTTCCGTCGATCTTTCCGTCAGCCAAGTTAGAGGAGTTAGTTACAGGACGGTTTTGGGAGTTACGTTTAGTCAATCGTTTCGCTGCAGGAGAGTCTGTTTCCCTTTGACCAGCCATGTAGCTTTCCGTATGCTCAGCTACTAAATAGATTGCGAAGGTAAAACAGGGATTAGTCTGCAGTTCGCATTTCGCATTTTGGACAGCGACAGGCGACAGCCATGGCGACGTCGTCGCCAGCTGTTCGCAGGAGATCGTCATTCCCAAGCGCCTTGTCGCAGCCGTCGCTCCGCACCTCTCCGTCGCCCGCGCGACCAGTTCCGCCTTCCGCGTGGGAAACCCCGCCGTCCTCCGCAGGCGCGGGCGAATTCGGCGGAATCGGGGGAAGCGGGGGAATGGGGGAGGGGGGAGCGGTGAGCGGAAGCGGCCGTCCGCGGTTGCGCCGGCGCCGCGCATTCGCTGACATTGCTGGCGCTGCTAGTGTCCCCACAATCGGCGCGTTTCAGACGTATCGCCACCCGTTGATCGATCGAATGCTCGAAGCGCAGAAAGGGATGCCGACGCTGACGGACGCGACTGTTGCGGCGGGAATCACGGTGACTGCTGGGCTCCTACTGGCTGCGACGCGACCCAGGTGAAACTTTGTCCTGCATCGGAGGTAAACGAGGGGAGGCGACAGACATTTGACAGACAACTGACAGACACGTTTTGCATTTTCAGCTCGCTTTATTACCGATTAACATCAGCCGTGTAATTTTGAGGCGTTTCTGCATCTCAACGATTTTCCAACGTTCTCATGTTCTCCTGTATTCTGTTGATCCCTTGTGACTTTTGAGTCGACTCAAAAGTCACCTAATTTCCCACGTTCTCATTTTTATGTATTCTGTTGATCCCTTGATCCCGCTTTACTTGAACCTTACTAAACACGTTATATCCTTCAATTCTTTTTGGCGCCTTATAAAAGGAGAACTTCACCTTGTATCATTGAACCCGCCCGTGCAGGGAGCAGCAGCTGTGGGATTGGCTGGTGGATTCAGGCGTGGGAGGGGAAATTGCAGGGATCCTTCTTTCCGTCGTCCAAGTCTCTCTGGCCGTCCTTCTCCTCCTCTCCCTCCTCTCCCTCTCTCAAATCATCTTCACTCGCGTAACCAACCCCACAAAACCCCCGTTCTCTTCCTTTTCCGCTCCGTTTCCCTTCCCCGCGTCTCCCACCCCTTCCTCGCCTTATCCTTCCAACCACAACCAATACCACCAGCAGCACCAGCAGCAGCAGCAGCAGCACCAGCAGCAGCAGCAGCAGCAGCAGCAGCAGCAGCAGAGTAATCAGCAACAGGATGTTGCGGATTCTCTCCTTGTCCCCCAACGATCAGCCAATCATTCTGAAACACGTGGCACAACTCTACACACTCCCACGCCTTCCGCCTCTTTCCCCTCCCCGTTCCCGTCCCCGTCCCCGTCCCCTGGCCCTTCCGCTACCTCCTCTTTCCCTCTGTACCCCCAAAAGCTACGCTCGTTTCTTCATCAGTATACTCCTTATAAGCAGTTGCAGCACCAGCAACATAAGCAGCAGCAGCTACAGCAACAACAGCAATGGCAGCAGCAGCAGTATCAGCAGCAGCTGCTACAGCAGCAACAGCAGCAGCATCAGCAGCAGCTGCTACAGGAGCAACAGCTGTATCAGCAGCAGTTGTATCATTCACTCCCTCACACTCCAACTCCCCATCGCCCTTCTCACACCCCCCTCGCTCACTCCTCTCTCTCACACCCGCCTTTCTCCCCCCAACCAACACCAGAAGCAACTACTGCTGCTGCAACACCCAACGCCCCTTCCTCCCTCCCCACCCTCCCCCACCACTCCCACTCCCTCCTCTCCTCTCTTTCTCACACTCTCCACCCCTCTCTGGCCCTCCACCACACCCCCTCTCTCGCGCACTCCCTGCCCTTACCCCTGGGAAGCAAGAGGAAGCAAGTAGAGACAAAGGAGGAGCTGCAACAGCTGTTGATGAATTTAGATGGCAAACTTGCTGCTGCTTCTGCTGCTGCTGCTGGGGGTGGTGGGGGAGGGGTTGGGGGTGGGGGTGGTGGCAGGGGTGGGGAAAGGGATGCGGATGGGGAATGGGGTAGGGAGGGAGGAGGCGGGGAGGGGGGAGTAGGAAGGGGCACGGTGAGGGGGGGAGGAGTGAGTGCGGGAGCAGCAGCACACGTAGCAGCAGCTACAGGCAGAGGCGGAGGCGGAGGGGGGTATTACCCCCTCTCGTATCAACAGTCTCCTGGCAGTCTCCCGGCGCACTATCACCAGTCCCAACCAGGCCACTACCACTACCAGAGTTCAGAGCGCCTTCCACCGATCTCTCCTCGTGCTCGTGCGGATTCACTCGTTCAACCCCCCTCTCCCACTCTCCTCCGCTCGTCCTCGCTTGGCGCACCAGCCTCCCCCCTCCCATTCACCCCTCACCGTTACACCCTCCCACCTACGCTCCCCACACCTACCCCCTCCGCCCCACCACACCTCCCTACCGCTCCCCTCACTTTCCCCCTCTCAAATCCTCCCTTTGATACAGTCACCTCGGATTCTCTCACGCCTGATACATTCACATCTTATAACCCCTCCTCGCCCCTCCTAGTGCACCCTAGGCTGACTCCTAGCCCGTCTCGAGCCGCCATAGTGGGGAAGAAAGGGGAGGTGGAGAGATTAAAGCCCATGGCGCCTGGGGAGGAGGAGGAGGGGTTTAGGAGCCTGGGCGTGCTGCAGTGGAGGGACACGTGGCGCGACAGGATTCGCCAGTGGTTCTCGCAGCACCTGCTGAAGGCCCTGGTGAAGAAGATTGAGGCAGCTCCAAGCAAGGTGGGTGCGGTGGGATGGTGGTGACGAGTGTGAGGGTGGGTTGGGTGGGGTTTGATGGGGTTAGGTGCGGTGGAATTGGTGCCGCCAATTGCCAGTGGTTCTCGCATCACCTGGTGAAGGCCCTGGTGAAGAAGATTGAGGCAGCTCCAAGCAAGGTGGGTGCGGTGGGGTGGTAGTGACGAGTGTGAGGGTGGGTTGGGTGGGGTTTGATGGGGTTAGGTGCGGTGGAATTGGTGCCGCCATTCGCCAGTGGTTCTCACAGCACCTGCTGAAGGCCCTGGTGAAGAAGATCGAGGCAGCTTAAAGCAACGTGGGATGGGGAGCTGTTTTGGGAGGTGGGATGGGGAGGTGTTTGGGGAGGTGAGATGGTGAGGTGTTTGGAGAGGTGAGATGGGCCAGGTTGTTCCGAGCAAGGTGGGTGGGTGAGCAGGGTGGAGTGAGCAGCGGTGAGCAGGGTGGAGTGGGTGAGGCTGATGGGGTTAGGTGCGGTGGAATCAGTGACAGTGGTCCTAGCAGCACCTGCTGAAGGCCCTGGTGAAGAAGATCGAGGCAGCTCCAACCAAGCAAAGTGGGGATGGTTGAGGGTGGGTGAGGGTGGGTGAGGGTGGGTGAGGGTGGATGGGTGAAGAGGGAGTGTTGGGTGGAGGTTGATGGGCCCAGTGGCCGTTTGAGTTGGGGGTGCGTGTGGGTGGCAGGCTTGGTGGTTGAGGTGAATTTGCATGTGAGGTTGCATGTGAGGTTGCATGTGTGCATGTGAGGTGGCATGTGAGGTTGCATGTGAGGTTGCATGTGTGCATGTGAGGTTGCATGTGAGGTTGCGTGTGAGGTTGCATGTGAGGTTGCATGTGTGCATGTGAGGTTGCATGTGAGGTTGCATGTGTGCAGTGCATGTGAGGTTGCATGTGTGCATGGGACTTTCATCCTTCCTTACTGTTGTTTCGAGTCCCTCTTACGAATAGAAATTACTTTTCTAATGAACCCCCCTCCCCCCCCTCCCAACCCCCCAATCCCCTATTCCTCCCCAATCCCAAGCCTCCCCACAACCCAATCTCCTACCCCCCCCCCCCCCCCCACTTCCCCCCCACTTCATCTTCCCACCCACTCCTTCCCCTCACCGTTATCAGCAGCAGCAGCCCCTCTCGGCCTCTCCCTCTCCATCCATTCTCCTCTCCCCCTCTTACCCCTGCCCTCCCCCCGCTTCCACCGTTCACCCCTCGCAGTTATCAGCAGCAGCAGCCCCTCTCGGCCTCTCCCTCTCCCTCGAACCTCTCGACAGCCTCGGCAACTCGGCCGTACCTCTACCTGCAGGCTCGGCAGGTCTGACCCAGACCTCCGCCCCAGGCTCGGCTGCGGCGGCAGCAGGAACCAGCAGCCCTGGTTTGGGAGTGGGAGGGTTGGGAGGAGGGGAGGCAGGGGGGGTGGAGGAGGTGGGGGGAGGGGGGAGAGTGGTGGTGGTGCAGGGGAGTGTGATGGGGGAGAGAGAGGGGCTGCAGCAAGTGAAGGGGATTCTGCTACAGCTGCTACAGACGCCCACTCAAGCAGGTATGGTATCTTGCAGGTGAATGAACACAGGACTTTACACCCCTCGCCCCTTTCCTTACCAACCCCACCTGTTGGGTCTATACGTAGCTTGCATCAGCCACTAAGTGACTCTCTTAGTCACTCATCCCAAGCCTGTTCACCCGTTGTTTCCCCCTGTCCTTCATTTTCCTTCCCAGCCTCGCCTGCAGGGTGCATATGTGGCCTGCTCCAGCCGCCTTCTGAGGCACGCCAGCCCTCAATGTACCCAGCCTGTTTTCTGCTCACCTGCTCTCCGCCTTTCCTCTCCAGTCCCACCTGCAGGGTCCATATGTGACTTGCACCAGCCGCAACATGACTCTTCCCAAGTTCTCACTATGCCCTAACATGTGTACCCTTCCTCCTCTTCCGCCCTTTCCTCCCCTTTCCTCCCCCTTCCTCTCCTTTCCTCCCCTTTCCTCCCCCTTCCTCTCCTTTCCTCCCCTTTCCTCCCCCTTCCTCTCCTTTCCTCCCCTTTCCTCCCCTTCCTCCCTTTCCTCCCCTTCCTCCCCTCCCCCACTTCCCCCCCTTCCCCCACTTCCCCCCCTTCCCCCACTTCCCCCACTTCCCCCCCTCTCGTTTCCAGCCCCATCTGCAGGGTCCATGTTCGACGTGCACCAGCCATATTGTGCTCCTCGTTCCCCCCTCCTCCCCTCGCCAGCCCCTCCTGCAGGGTCCATATTTGGCTTGCACCAGCCGCAGCAGCAGCAACAGCAGCAGCAGCAGGTGGAGGCACAGAAGGAAGCTGCGCGGAACCTTCTGGCAGCCATAGCGGACTACGAGCATCTTAGGGACGTCCTTAGAGGGCACTGGGCCAAGGGGCTGCTGCTGCCTCGTGGCAGTGTGCCATTGCAGTACAGCACTCAGCGGATCAAAGGTGGGATGGCTGGTGGGCTGGGTGGAGAATTTTCCTCTCCCATACTCCTCATTGCTATCCTTTCTCCTCTCTATTCTCACTCCTATGTCAGTCCCTTCTTCCCTTTGCCTCCGTCATCTGGCCATGGCAACAACACCAACCAACCAACCAATCACATTCTCTCCTCTTTACCTTCCTGCGTTCCTCCCAGACCTGGCAGCAGGCTCCTGTCTGCGCTGCTTCCAATGGTCAGCAGGCGGAAGCTTCCTGACACGAGACGCCAGCCGCATCCCCACCTCCTCCTCTCCCGCCTCTTCCACTCCCCTCACCAGCACCACTGCTGCTACTGACCCTACCCATCACTCCCTTTTCTCTCCCTTCTTTGGAGCTCCCTCCTCCTCCCTCCCCCCCTCTGTCCTCCCACATTCCCCTCCCCCATCCCGTGCTCCCAACTCTTCGTCTCCCTTAACCCCTTCCTCCCTCTCTGGCTCTCAACCCCCATCTCTGTCATACTCGTTACAAGCTGCTCCAGAAGGAGCGTTCCTGGTGCCTTGGACTCCTGACCTCCCCACTGACCCCCATCTGCTGGTCTACCTCTTTGCTGCACACCTGTCGCATCCCCGTTGGCTGGATGAATACCTGCAATCGCCACTGCAGCAGCAGCAGCAACAGCTTTCCACAGCTACTACAACTGTAGCTGCTACAGTGCAGCCCCCAACAGCTCACTTTGCCACCCAAAATCCCCTGGTAGTGGGCGGCTCACTTCCCCGCGACCGCCTGTTGCCGCTGTCGTCTTCTTCCTCCTCTGCTTCACCCTCTGCCCTTTTGGGCGGCAGGTTCACAGCCATCGTTGGATCCATCCCACCAGCCAATGCCAGACTGCCACCTGGCGCCGACGTGCTTGTGATAACGCGGGATGTACCTGCAGTTTTCGTCTCTTTCTGGGATGGCCTGCCAACTTTCTGCCTACAGGTGTGTGCTTGTCTTCCTCAACCTTCCCTGCTACTTTTGACATGGTCACCGAGGACGTGTGATGTGCACAGACATTCATATGTGTTTTGCTCTACACGCTACACCTCATGTCCCCATACTCTCAAGCTGCCACTTATTTTTTTCCTTTTGTGTGTCTTTGCCCTAACAGGGGAGGTTCGCATTATGGGATGCTGTGTCGCTGCTGTGCCTTGGGGTGCATGTGCACCAAGGTGGCATAATTGGTGATCTGAGCTTGTCTTCTCCATCTCTATCTCTCTCCCCTCTTCTTGAGCCAGTCATCTCCACAAGTAACACATGAAATATTCCATGTACGATTCCAGCTTCGTCCGTAAATATCTGGATAGAACAAGAATCAACGTTGCCTACTAAATTACCTGGTTCATGTCATCTAGTTGGTTATGGTAGATTATGTTGTAACTCGCAGGTTGAAATGTTCAATATCATTACTGATTCTCGCATTTCTCTTTATGCGGGCTGGTTGTCACCTGATTGGCCCCTTGCACCTCATTCACCATGGGCTGGGGCAACACACTTTGCCCGCCAATTATACCACAACAAAATCCACGTCGGCATGGCCGCGCCCACCCGGTGAGCTGTCGATTTGTCACCAGCTCAGCCAACCAGCGTGACATCAGCATTTCACGTGACGTGCTCCCTGATTTCACCAGTCAAGAGCACAGCTGTGGTGGAGCTGCCTACGTGAATCCTGTGGTCGTGGATCCGCGCGTGAGCCTCAAGCGCCTGATGCGACCATGATGTCGAACGGCTCCTCAGGCACTGGACTTCCTTCACCCTCACTCAGGAGAAGCATGAGTCATCCCACATCAGCCATGCCCTGCTGGCAATACTTCTTGCCAGAGAAGGGCACACCCATCAACCTGTAGTCCCAAACCTCCCCCAAATCGCGAACCACCCCCAAATGTACGAATCTGCTCTAAGTTTTTCCATCATTTTCTAAATCTGAACCCCTCAGTTTCATACCATCAGTCACATTGTGTGTCAAAATCCCGAACAGCCCACTCTTGGCTCACCTGTCTTCGTTCATATTTTCACACTTCTTACCACTAGCCTTGATCTCTTGGGATTTTGCAGAGTGATTGAGAGTGCGACGGACGGAAAGTGTTTGGATGAGTCAGCACAAATCCAGCAGGGTATCAGCAAGTTTGCTCCTCCGGTTCTCGTGGGCCAGCCTTTTTCCCCTCTGGCTCCTGCCATTTCCAGCTGCGACCGCCCAAAGGTTTGGGCTCGAGGAGTTGACGGCTTTGCGATGAGGTGAGGAGGATTTTCCAAATTCCAACCTCAGGGTTGTTCTATGGTGCAGTTGCCTTCAGCACGGTTCAGCAGGTTTTACCGTGTTTTTCTTGCAAAATGCAGCCGTCCCCTCACAAGCAAGGCACTGCTGCTGGCAACAATCTTGCAGTCGTGATATCCCCTGATGTCGTCGGATGTCAAAAATCACTTTGGACATCCCCTGACTCGGCTCACGACTCGTGACAGCAACAGCTCAACGCGGCGAGACGACGGGAGGGGACGAGACGAGAGGGGACGAGACGAGATGACACTGTAGAGAACAGACTGAAAGATACGGGCCTCCAGCTAAGTTCCATGTGACAGGTCAAGTGGAGACGACGAGGTGACAGGATAACCAGATGGAGTGAAGCGCGGCGTAAGATACGGCGTCAGGCCGCTTCTTAGAACCACAGCTTCGGCTTCTCTTCTTCGGTTCAACCGCGACCGCAGGCACAAGAAGATATATCTAAAAGCAATCATGATTCCGTTGGGTGAAGGTCATATGCGTTCTGTATCAGCTCACCTGCCGGGCAACACTTGCTTTCATACAGTCGGGTAGCGAGGCGGCTGCAACTTTGCCAGATCCACCCCAACCACAGGTGTTCGTTCTGTTCAGCTGTGCGACTATTCTATGTCAAACGTTGCATTGCTCTCGCTTGTTTTCGCTTGATTTCGCTTGCGTTCGCTGGCCTTGCCTCGCCTCGCCGCCGCGCCATCAGCCTTTCTTGTTGCGAATCACTCTTGGCGGAAGCAATCACGAATGTAACCCTCGCCGCTGTTGTGTCTGTTCCTCCTGTGGACGATCGTTGACAGTCCACGCTCCCCAGCTCGAGCTTCATTGAATGGTGATTGCAGAAGCCTTATTCTGAATCGAGCCTTGGAAGTCAGCAGCACATCTGCACTTCCGCAGCATCCGCAAAACTCCTGCGAGGTCGATTTTCGTTTACATGCGACTCAGCACTTCCCTCACCACTCGACTCTCAAGCATGAAATCTCTAGTCTCTCAAGCTCTTTCCTCTGCCTAGAATCTCAAGTCTCCCGGCTATGGCGGCACAAGTAGCTAGTAGACAAGGGAGCATAGCTGCACATCAACCGGCGGCCACGCGGACCAATATCGAGCAGCCACGTCATCTGCACACCGCCTCGCAACAGCGCCATCCGATGAGTCACCCTCAGCAGCAGCAGCAGCAGCAGCAGTCGCAGATGCAGACGCAGACGCAGCAGGACCAAAGCCCTCGTTACAGTCCCGTTCGCAACGGAAACTACAGAAGACCGGCGTTAACCAACCCGTTCACTGGAAACCCGGAATATCTTCCCCAGCAGCAGCAGATGCGGCCACAGCGCCGCCATAGGCGCTCCTGTTCCATGTCAGACTTCGTCTCCAATATAATCATCCCCGACTCGCAAGCCCAAGCGCCATCCCCGATACCAACTTCCTCAATCGCAAACAACGCCAGTTGCAGTAGCCCCATTCCGTACAATTATTCCCCTGACTATTCCCCTGGACCGGTCTCCGCACCATCCGCTCTCTCGTTCCCGCCATCAGAACCCGTCCCAGAGATTAAAGCTAAGGCGTCGACGCCTCCTCCCGTTACGAGAAGCCAAGCGGCTCCTCCGCGCCGCGGCCGCCACGTCAGACGCAGTTCCTGGTCAGGCTATGGGCCAATCGCGTTCGACGGAACAACCGAGCTGGAGACGTTGGACCTACTATCACCGGCGAGGTTCCACGCTGCCGCCGCCGCCGCCGACGGCGCGCTTTCCGGCGCTCAGTTCGCAAACAACTCGACGGCGGGCGAAGGATTTCGAACGGCCGTCCGAAACAACAGAGGATCTCTCGAGTTAAATCCGACGGTGCTCGCCGACGCCACACGAATGGTTCCAGTCGGCCTCCCAGCCGGCCTTCCGGCCCCTTCACCTTCTGTCCTCCCTAGAGCCGCAAGCCACGGCGGCGGCCGCAGGACCGTGTTTCCGACGCCGCAAAGCACAGCTACTAACGTGGATGCCGATGCTGACTCAGATGACGAGTTTGTCGAGCTGTACGGGAACGCGAGGCGGCATCGCGCGGAGGCCGCGCGCGCGTTGAACGCGCTGGAAAGGCTCGTTTCCACATCGAACGGTGCTGGTAGCCCCACTGGGGCGGCTCGTGGCGCGGGGAAAGTTGGATCGCCTGTCGCTCTGTCGCCCACGTCGTCACCAACAGCTAAGCCCGCGGGCGATGACAGACGATTTTCGCGAGATCGTAACTTGAGTTCCGATGCGACGAACCCGCCGGTTCGCTCGCCGCTGTCATCCCGCATCCGCCGCACGATCTTCGGGCAAGGCTCGCCGTGCAACGTAACGCAAGCTTCGGAGGCTGCAGCACCGACGCCGTCAAGATATACCCTGATGCAATATGCACCGTCGATGAAGAGCCATACCGCGCCCAGCAGAGGCAGTATCTTGCCGGGGCGTTTGCCTAGCAAGGCGCCACAGAACCACCAATCAGACGCCACAAATAAAGGCCCAATTTCAACTTCTCTTCGACAGAACCCCGCTCTGACGGTTGTAGCTGTGGCAGAAGGGTTAGGGGGGTTACCCCTGCGCCCCCCCTCTTTTTCGCAATCTAGCGTGACATGCACGTCGCCAACCTTCGCTCAGGGAGTGTCGCCAGTGACGGGCGACGACCGCATTCAGCGCCGGCGATCTCATGATGACGGGATGAAGTCCTCGCGAATGAGGGTGTTGCGGCGTGTGAGCTTCAGCTCAAATGTGGAATTTATTTCAGGGAGTGAATGATTTCCTGGTCAAAACCATTATCATTCAAGTACCTACTTCTACTTTTGTAGGAATGTACAAGTATCCTTTTCCATGGCATAATCTTACTCAATCGTCTATTTCCCTTACCTTGCTTACTTCATTCTCTCTGAAGGTGGAGCAACATGATTGATCGTGTATGTGACGAAGTGTGACTTGATAGAAAACTTATTCAGTTACAGGAACACCATAATTCCATAAATTTATACGTATGCGGTATACAAGCAGAGCTAGCAACTCGTCAACTCTCGGGGCTTTCGTATGTGTTGAAGACGCGGATGAGTTAGATCTGGCAGGGAAGGGGACTGGGTGTCAAACATGTGTATTTGTCATGTTTGTATAGACTGTATAGGGTAGCCTCTTAGAGGGTACAACACTTAGGTATATCTGTGTGTACCCTCTCTCTAATATTATTCACTTCAATTTCTAATATGGTATCACGCGTAGGTAGGATCCCCCCCCCCCCCCACCTACCGCTTCCGCTCGCCCCTAGCCCCGTCGCGACCCCCCCTAGCCCCGTCGCGCCCCTTCCTGGGACCCGTCGCGCCCCTCCCTGGGCCCCGTCGCGCCCCTTCCCGGGCCCCGTCGCGCCCCTCCCAGGCCCCGTCGTGCCCCTCCTGGGCCCCGTAGCGCCCCTCCTGGGCCCCGTCGCGCTCCTCCTAGGCCCCGTAACGCCCCTCCTGGGCCTCGTCGCGCCCCTCCTAGGCTCCGTAGCGCCCCTCCTGGGCTCCGTCGCGCCCCTCCCAGGCCCCGTCGCGCCCCTCCTGGGCCCCGTCGCGCCCCTCCTGGGCCCCGTCGCGCCCTATCTGGGCCCTGTAGCGCCCCTCCTGGGCCCCGTCGCGCCCCTCCCAGGCCCCGTAGCGTCCCTCATGGGTCCCGTCGCGCCCCTCCCAAGCCCCGTCGCGCCCCTCCTGGGCCCCGTAGCGCCCCTCCCAGGCCCCGTAGCGCACCTCCTGGGTCCGGTCGCGCCCCTCCCAGGCCCCGTAGCGCCCCTCCTGGGCCCCGTCGCGCCCCTCCTGGGCCCCGTAGCGCCCCTCATGGGCCCCGTCGCGCCCCTCCTGGGCCCCTGCAGCGCCCCTCCTGGGCCCCCCGTCGCGCTCGCCCGGCCCCGTCGCACCAGCCCGGCCCCGTCCTGCTCGCCCGGCCCCGTCGCACCCGCCCGGCCCTGTCGCACCCTGCCCGGCCCCGTCGCATCCGCCCGGCCCCGTCGCACCAGCCCGGCCCCGTCGCGCCCGCCTGGCCCCGTCGCACCGGCCCGGCCCTGTCGCCCCCGCCCGGCCTCGTCGCCCCTGCCCGGCCCCGTCGCGCTCGCCCGGCCCCGTCACCCCGGCCCGGCCCTGTCGCACCAGCCCGGCCCCGTCGCGCCCGCCCGGCCCCGTCGCGCCCGCCCGGCCCCGTCGTCCTCGCCCGGCCCGGTCGCACCTGCCCGGCCCCCCTGCCCCGGCCCCGTCCTCCTCACTGGTACGGTTCCCCCCCACCCCGCCCTGCACTGCCCTGCACCGTACCGCCACGCACCACACTGTACTGCCTTACACCGCACTGCACCGCACTGCACCGCGCTACACCGCACTGCATCGCACTGTACCGCACTGCACCGCACTGCACTGCACTACACCGCCCTGCACCGCACTGGACTGTTCCTGATGGCGGCGGAGCTTCGCTTCGACGCTGAAGGTCAGCCCCTAGAGTTCGAGGCGTGGCTTGCCGACCTCCGCCACCAACTCACTGGCCAGCGGCAGGATGGTGAACCGCTTTCCGCACACCTTGACGGTACGCTCCCCTGCCCAGACCCCCCTGCTATTCTGCCCGCTGACCCCACACCCACTGAGCGTGAGTCTACTGCTGCCACTGCCCGTGCGCGCTCTGTCTGGCTTTCTCGCGATGCTGTCGCCCAGCTTGCCATTAGCAACGCCCTTCCCCCGTCCGAGCGTCCTCGCTTTAGGTCCCTCACTACTGCTCAGGCATACTTAGAGGCTGTCATCAAGCGCTATTCCACCCCTCCGGCTGCCTCGGTGGGTCGCCTGATCCTCCCGATGCTCTTTCCTGACCTTGATTCTTTCCCCACTGTCTCTGACCTCGCTGCCCACCTGCGCTCGATAGAGGAGACCTGGCGCGCCGCCTGCACTGACGCACAGCTTAGAGCCCACCAGCCGCCCATTACCTCTACCCTCTACCTGCTTGCCACCCGCCTCCCTGACCGCCTTGCTGTCGCCCGCGACCGCTTCCTTAGCCTTCACCCTGCCGACCTCACCCTCACTGACTTTGTAGACACCCTGACTGTGATAGAGACCCGTCACCGCTCCATCGCCCAGGCGAGCGGTGTCGTGCCTGTCCCTATCTTTCAGGGTTGTGCCCCCGCCCAGTGTACCTTCTCCGACGGCTCTGTCGCAGTGGCTGAGACGGCTCTGTCGGAGTTTCGTTCGGGGAAGGGCCGCCGCCCCAAGGTTGGGCCCGGCGGAGGCGGCGGCGGGGGTGCGGGAGGGGGTAGTGGTGGGGTCGGGTCGTCTGGTGCTGGAGCGGACGAGGGGACCCTGCCCAGTCCAGCTCAGCCGCCGCCCCTGCTGTTGCAGCAGCCGCAGCAGTCGCCGCAGTCGCAGCCGTCGCAGCAGCCGCCGCAGCCGTCGCAGACGCGGCAGACGAGTGTCCTCCCGCCCGGGTGGCCCGGCGCTGGCGGTGGCCGGGCGCGTGGTGGTGTGTCGAGTGGTAGCTCTGGCGGCGGGCGCTGTCAGTACCAGATCCAGACCGGTCCTCGCCGCGGCTTCGTTTGCGGTAAGATAGGTCACTCCACTCCCCGCTGTTTTCGTCGCCTGGACGACCTCTTTCGTCAGCGCTTCGGCCCGTCGCCAAACTGGCACAGTTTGCTTAGTCGTAAGATTCAGATCTTTGATATGGACATGGATGCCATTGTTTCTGCTCTGCATGTGATGTATGCTGATCACTCTAGTGTGCTTCCCGCTTATTACTCACTGTTGCCTAGTGTAGGTGTGCCTAGTGTACCCTCCCCTGCTGCGTCAGGCGTAGGATCCTCTGCTTTGTGTAGCCTTGGTGCTTCCGCCGTCGTTCCGTCGCCAGACGCCTCTGCTTCGCTTTCCTTCACCTTGGACTCTGGCGCTTCTCGGTGTTTCTTCCGCGACTCCACCACCCTGACGCCGCTTCCCGTCCCTGCTGTCGTTTCTCTCGCTGACCCCTCTGGCGGTCCGGTAGTCGCCCGCAGTTCCACCACCCTTCCCTGTCCGGCGGTTCCTTCGGGCTCTCTTACACGTCTGCATATCCCCTCGTTCTCCAGGAACCTAGTTGGTGTCGGCTGCCTCCAGGACCTTGGCGTCACCACTACGTTCCCTGGTCACGAGCGGTATGCTGTCTGTACCGAGGCCGCCACTGGTGCCCCCCTGTCCACGTTCCCCCGGGACCCGGTGTCCGGCCTGTTCACTCTGGACACTGTGACCCCCCCGGCAGGAGCGCTCACCCAGGTTGCTGCCTGATCCTGTCGGTCCCTCACTCACCCGACCCTCCTTTGGCACCACCGCCTAGGTCACCCTGCGCTCCCGCGTCTGCGTCACATGTCCCAGCACGGTCTTGTTCTTGGTCTCCCAGGTTCTCTCCCTGCGTTTCCCTCCTCCCCAGCCCCACCTTGCACGCCTTGTGTCGAGGGTCGGCTTCGCCGTGCCCCTCACTCCTCCTCGTTTCCCCCTACCGCCGCGCCGTTGCAGACCCTGCACCTGGACGTATGGGGCCCCGCCCCGCCCCTGTCCCTGGGCCGTGTCGAGAGCGTTACTTCCTTGTGCTTGTCGACGACTTCACACGCTACACCACAGTCTTTCCCCTGGAGCGCAAGGCCGACGTGCCTGGCACTCTCATCCCCTGGCTTGTCTCTGCGCGTATCCACCGCGGTCTCCCTGTCTTGCATCTTCACTCAGACCGTGGTGGCGAGTTTGCCTCAGGTGTCCTTGGTCGCTTTTGTCGTGCGGAGGGCATCACCCAGACGTTCACCCTACCGGACTCCCCACAGCAGAATGGGGTCGCTGAGCGACGCATCGGTTTGGTCATGGAGGTGGCTCGCACCTCCATGATCCATGCCGGTGCACCCCATTTTCTGTGGCCGTTCGCTGTGCGCTACGCTTCTCACCAGCTTAACTTGTGGCCGCACCCTCAGCAGCCGCAGGTTTCGCCCACCCGTCTTCGGACTGGGTCTCCTGGTGACGCGTCTGCGTTCCACATCTGGGGCTGCCTTGCTCACGTCCGTGCCCCCGGCACGGACAAGCTCACTGCCCGCACCCTTCCCTGCGTCTCCCCCCTTGTTCCCCTCCTGTGTCCCCTCCTCTGTCTCCTGACCCGACTCCTCCGTCGCACGTCTGGTCTCACCGTCCCTCCCGTGTTCGTCCTGCCTCGCCTGTTCTGCGCTCCCACCCTATGTTGCTTCGTTCCCACGCGTCTCGTCCTCCCCTTCTGCCGTCGCCTCCTCCTTCCTCCCTTGTTGTTGCACCCCCCCCGCTGTCTGACTACCTTCGTGCCGCTCGTCCTCTTGTTCCTCGCGTCCTTGCCTCTCTCGTTACCGACCCGTCTGTTCCAGCCTCGTGCCTTGACGCCCTTGTCGCTGCTGTCACTGACTTCGCCTCTTCCCGCCGCCTTGACTACGCCTCCGCTCTGGTCTCTGACCCTGCGTGTCCTCCGTCTGTCGGGGGTGCTCCTGCCCTTGGCAGTGACGTCCTGGAGGACCGCCAGTTCGAGCTTGCTTTCCTCTCCGAGGCTGCTCCCCATCTCTGTTCCATGATGCTAGTCCCTGAGGGTGACCCAGACGCTTTTGACATCCCGACCCCTCGCACTTACGCTGAGGCGACCTCGGGACCCTGGGCCTCGCAGTGGATAGCTGCCATGGAGCAGGAGATGGCATCTTGGAGATCCACCGGCACCTTCGTCAACGCAGTTCCCCCGCCTAGGGTGAACGTAGTCGATGGCCGCTGGCTCTTCAAGGTGAAGCGCCCTCCTGGAGAGCCGCCTGTGTTCAAGGCGCGCTACGTGGCTAGAGGCTTCAGTTAGCGCGAGGGGGTGGACTTCTTCCAGACCTTCGCTCCGACCCCGAAGATGACTACTCTTCGGGTTCTGTTACACCTAGCTGCTCAGCGTGACTACGAGCTTCACTCCCTCGACTTCTCTACTGCCTTCCTTCAGGGCAGCCTACACGAGCAGGTCTACCTACGTCGCCCTCCGGGCTTTACTGGCACCTTCCCTCCTGGGACCCAGTGGCTCCTGCGGCGCCCCGTCTACGGCCTGCGCCAGGCTCCCCGTGAGTGGCACGACACTCTCCGTGCTACGCTTGCTGACCTGCAGTTCTTTCCGTCTTCCGCAGACCCTTCCCTCTTCGTTCGTGCTGGCTAGACTCTGTTCTACATCCTTGTTTACGTGGATGATCTGGTCTTTGCCACAGCAGACAGGGACGCACTGGCCTCCGTGAAGGCAGAGCTGCTGAAGAGACACACCTGCACTGACCTTGGAGAACTGCGCCGTTACCTTGGCTTGCAGATCTCCAGGGACAGAGCTGCGCGCACCATCACTCTGACTCAGTCACACTTGGTGCGCCAGGTCCTTCAGAGGTTCAGCCTTCAGTTCTCCTCTGCACAGCCCACCCCTCTGCCTGTAGACCACAGGCTCTCCGCTCCAGTGTCTGAGGAGTTGGTAGAGCCCAGCGGCCCCTACGCAGAGCTGGTGGGTTGCCTCATGTACCTGATGACTTGCACTCGCCCAGATCTCGCATACCCTCTCAGCATCCTGGCTCGTTTTGTGGCCACAGGCAGACACCGACCGCAGCACTGGTCTGCCGCTAAGAGGGTTCTGCGTTATCTTGCTAGTACATCGGGCATGGGGTTAGTGCTAGGAGGACGCAGGCCAGTGGTCCTTACTGGACACACAGACGCTTCGTGGGCAGACGACGCTGAGACACTCAGGTCTACCCAGGGCTACTGCTTCAGTCTTGGCTCAGGTGCCGTCTCGTGGAGAGCTACTCGCTCCTCGTCTGTGGCGCAGTCCAGCTGTGAGGCTGAGATCTACGCTGGTGCCATGGCGGCACAGGAGCTCCGTTGGCTGACCTTCTTGCTCACTGACTTAGGTGAGCGGCCTAGCTCTGCCCCGGTCCTGTTCGCTGACAACAGGGCCATGATCCTCCTGTGTCAGGAGCCTCGACTCGAGGGCAGAGCGAAGCACATTCAGCTGCGGTACTTCCTCCTGCGTGAGCTACAGCAGCGACGTCAGGCTCGCGTAGTACACTTGGCCTCTGGTGCCAACACGGCTGATATCTTTACGAAGGCGCTTGCGCCTAAAGATCATCAGCGGCACTGTGTACAGCTTGGTCTAGTTCCTGTAGCCTCTCACTTGCTAGGACCTTGACTTTGTACTGTCCTTTATATGTATACTCAGACTGGACTTGTGTCCTCTCCCAGTGGCTGGACTAATAGTGCCGCCCTGCCCTTGTTCTTGCCTTGTCTGTACTCCTTCTGACTGGTCTCTCAGACCCTTGTCTCAGAGGTTGGACTAGTAGTGCCGCCCTGAGCTGCTTGTTTAGGACATTCCCCTATGCAGTCTAGGGGGTGTGTCAAACATGTGTATTTGTCATGTTTGCATAGACTGTATAGGGTAGCCTCTTAGAGGGTACAACACTTAGGTATATCTAATACTGGGTTCACTTTAATTTCTAATACTGGGTTCTTCCCTGGCATTCCAACAGTGCCCCTCGCTGAGATTATCTTTCGTGCGTTCCTGACTAGGTGGTTCAAAGGTGCTTCACCGTTGTTGGGCTGATAAAAGCCCTTAGGATCTTTCCAGAGACTATGTCCCAGTTGAAAGTGAGACTTGAGTAGTGCAGCGGAAGTTGAGTAGTTGAACCCTTGTACTAGTATATGAGAACAAGTGATTGATTAAAGTGAACAAGCATACAGCAATATATAGAAAGTAGAAAACAAGCAGTTGTAGAATATAGTTGTATGGCGGTTATCGAGTCGCACAGCGACTCGATTGTCGCTTCGGTTACCATTCTTGCAGTTGTAACGGTCAGTCGCACAGCGACCCTTCGAGTCCTTTCGTGTTCTTTGTCCATCCCCTCGTGTAACCTCCGTTGACTCGCGTACTCGTTACGATCTTCCTCGAGTGTGGTGTTACACTTCAGAAACGCTTAAGTCCTTGAGATATTTCCAACAACCGTTTTACCGGCGAGACGGTAAAAATCCATGTTTACTGGCCATGAAAACAGTGCCAAAAACTCAGCGAAACCTGTTTCGGCAAAGCTTCTCTGACGAAAACTACTTCTCAGCGAAAAATATATGTTGCTCGCGACACATAAGAAACCCAACACCTTGCAATCAACAGTGTGCAAACAGTGACGACTTTTGGGTTGTGTGTGTGTGTGTGGGGGGGGGAGGGGGGGGGGGGGGGTGCGCTGGCTAACTATACACAGCTGTTCTCGTGTCGTGAATCCCAGCAAAAAATGCGTCTAGAATGGTACCGGGCGTTTTCAACTTCAGTATGAGTAAACAGTGAGTTCGAGGTTTGTCTCAAATAGCGAACTTCGCATGCTGCCCAATTTCGCACGCTGGGTTACCCCTACTTTTACGGAAACCAGTTCAGGGAATCCTGAACTTGATAGCCAACCAATGTAGACTCGGGCTTCAAATCGACTTATTAGTGTAGCCATAACTGCTCCCCCCTGACATTGCAACGCAGCTAGGCAGGCTTGGCACGCGAATTAAGTTGTGACACAGACCAATGAGTTCCTAGCGATTGTAATGAAAATTGACAGGTCTGCTCTACACCATCATCTGACGCATCTTTCCTTGACTTGTGAAGCGACTCGCACTCCACCGCCAGCTGGTCACGCGTGTCGTTTTAGAACTGACATCGGAAAAGTCGTTTGCTCCTCTTGTTGCTTTGTGCTTGTGGGTTGGATGTCATTACACTAAGCCCGCGGTAATTTTACACCCTGAAACTGAGCGGCAGAAGGATTTTTGTTTCCACCCTGACCATTTCTGAGTGCGTAGACAGTACCCCCTTGTTCCAACAGCCTAAGCTTGGAAGACTCCACGTGGCACCCCCTGTGAAAATACTGGGTGTTAAAATACCGCAGGCTAGCTGTACGGTACTGCACTGTTTAGGGCAATGTTGCAGAGATGTGTGTGGTTGCCCAGTTGCTCTGGGCCCGGCGGCGGCCGGCACCCTTTTTAACTCCAGGCTGGTAGATGTTGCTCTGAGATCCAAACTACAGTCGGCTCAACCACATTGGGCTCAGATAAGAGATTGGTCCTCCTTCTGACTAAGCGTGGTGTGAGCAGATGGCTGGGTGGTGAGGAGCTTTACAAGGAAATTTATGCGGATTATGAGAATGTGACTCCCATGTTTGGGGGAAGTTCGTACTGCTCCGAAAAATAGTAGAGCATTTATACTTCAGTCTAGTATTTGTCATAAGATATCTGAACTAGTGCCAGACCCGAGGGCTACAGTGTCAGACTTGACTTTACAGTACTCGTTTTCAATTTGTGCAGCATCTTTCATGTGTAACCGACTTGTCGCACTTCTCACGACTGCTCCAGCCTCCACTCAACATTGTTTCGTGTTTGTGTAACGTCACTCAGAGGCAGATGCATTTCTCCACCGACGAGTTTGTCTGCAGCTCTTTGCCTGAGCGACATGACGGTTCGTACATATGATCACGACTTTCCTACCACGTGATTGACCACACTGTACCACGTGAGTATCCTGCTGACACACGCCAGAACCGTTCTCTAAATTTCTGTACCGTTGTGACCGTTCGAACGGTGCTCCAGCCGTGTGTGTACCACGCCCTCAGCAGATATCCCACACGGCGAGGACAAGCTCAGCTAGTGGACATATTATTCACATTGCGCTCTGAGAAAAGAGATATGGATCGGAAATGAATCAACCCCAAACGAATGTTTGGTGTACAAGCGGCTCGCCCACAGTCGTGGTGGACAGCATTTCGCGAAACTCCCTCGCCCCAGCTCACACCATTCGCCCATTAAAACGTTTATTCGTTAGACGCTATTTGTCTATCTACAAGCTCATTGGTTCGAACACACGGGCAACGGCTCAACCCACAGAGGCCCACAGAGCTCCAACAGTTACCACAACTGATACTGAGACCTCCAAACGTGCAGACGGGACGTTCTGAAGCCTTGCACTGTTGCCCGAGGAACGCAAAAGAAACGACAATGGTCACTCGCTTTAGACTGAAAAATGCCATCTAGGTAACCAGACTACCATATGTTGGCCCATTTTACCCGTGAAAGTTTTGTGCTCGACTCTGGAGCAATCGCTAAAAAATAACAAGGCCTGAAAAGGACTTATTGTGCACAATAGGCAGTCGTGTAACTGCTGATCCGCTTTCCACGAGGTGCGAGGAAGGAAAGAGAGCACGACAAGGGGCAGTCATCTTTCCGCTCAAACATCCACGCGTTTGGTCCTCCGCTCAAACATCCACGCGTTTCCCTCCAGCGAGCTTCCATTCCAATTTCCAACACCCTCTGCTCTCCATTCTTTCTACGCGTGCATTGACGTGTCCTTGGTAAATTCGTCAGATCCAACTTCTCCGCTCATTCGGTATTCCCTGATTCCCCCACCAAACATGACAACCGATTGCCTATTGCGCGACAGCAGTTTTCCGCCGTGTCTCTCCCCGTTCCCGCAACATCAACTTCAAACATCCTCACCGTGGGAAATGCATCGCCTGCAACGAACGCATCGCCGTTCCCCGTCCCTGTCCGTCGTCGAGGCGTCGCAGAGAATCGCATGCGATCCCTGCGACTTTCGGGCGCCCACTGCGAACGTCGCAGCTAACAACGGCGCGAATCGCCGTGTAATGATCGCCGCTCCTGATGTCTCCGCAGCCGCCCAACCTCCAAACCCGGCTCCAGTCACAAGCGCGGCGCGAGTCACGTGGAAGAAACCTGGGATGGCGCTGCCCCCGCTCGTCCGTCGATCTACAGTCGGATCCGACGGCGATTACTTTAACTGCAAGGACCATATGGAAGACTCTTGGTGCCCTAGCCCAAGCCCAAGCCCTCGAGATGCGCGCTTCGATTTTCCGGGGGAAAGGTGGGTTGACCCCGCGTCACCACTTCCGCCCATGTCGCCCGCCGGCGCGCGGGGAAGATTCCCGTTGCGCGCAAAGTCGTCTTTTGCCAGGATGGGGCGCTCCGGTTCGATCGGAAGCGTCGCCGACGACGACGACGACGCCGACGACTCGGACGACGACGAGGCGTTTATTCAGCAATACGTCGCGACGATCATCAATCCTGCCGCAGCCGCCGCAGCCGCAGCCGCAGCCGCAGCAGCCGCCGCTGCAGCAGCAGCTGTTCCCGCACCTACTTTCGCAGGTTCCGCTCGAAATGGTGGGGCTCAAGCGAGCAAGCTGGGGTTTCATCCGCAGAATCGGGGGTCACGGGGAGCGCGGACGCATCGGCGCTGGCAGAGCTTCTCCGACGGTCACGTCCCCGGAGGGAAGTCTTCCCCCGTGGAGCGTTCCCCACAGTACGCTTTCACAAATACTTCTTCGCGAAGGCCTGGTGCCTATTTCGCGAGTTTTAGCGAGGAGCAGCTAGTTCCGGTTCGCGTTAGTTCAGCCCAGACGAAGTCTATGAGGTCGCCAGAGATGGGTTACTGGATTCCTGTCGCCGCCTCTTTGCCCCCACAGCATCGTCGGCGAAACAGCGTCGCCCCGAGTTCTGGCATTTCGCGACAACGTTCAGGCGAGGAAGATTGGGCGGTGCTGTCGCCAGGCGAACTCCAGAAGCTGCACGTTTCAAGCCCTAGGCAGACGAATTATGCGGTCGCGGGTTCGAATCCTGCAGCAGTACCAGAACATGCCTGGTCCCCTCATAGCAACATGAGGCACCAACAACCTAACTACTTAGGCCCTTCTGACACACCTCCTGTTGCATCTAGGGTTCCACGTGAGCAGCAGAAGCCAAGAACTTTGGCTCATCAGAGGTCCAAGAGCTTTGGTGCCAAGGAGCTTTCGTATTCTATTGGGTCTAACAGCCACTCCCCTATTGGCCCAGTGGTGACTGGGAGAATGGTATTGGACAGAACATGGCCTGCTACGGAGGCTCAGCAATATGGCTATGGCTATGAAAATAGCGTCTATGAGAGAAGATAGGGTAAGCGTGAGCGTTTTGCTGAGTTCTACTCTTCAGCCCTCTAGTCTAGAAGTGGACTGACTGACCACGGCAATTGCGTAGTTGTATATGTGTATAATTTTGCAATATTAATTTATTGAATAATGATATAGATAACTAGCACAGGATGTCCACATACCACAACGCATGAATCATGAATGGGCTCGTACCGAAGCGCGTATCAACTCCAACAGCTGTCTCGACCTCGTTAGATGTTGTCTGTGCTGAGTGGCATTACGAGAGATAATTTGACCCCGATCCGAGTTGTTGCGAATTATTTCTACCCGCAGCGCACGGACTACTGTAGTGTTGTTCTGCACAGTACCCGTTTCGCCCGCTCATGATTGGTGCGCAAGCGTCAAAGCCCAGCACACCGTGTTTGGATCCTGTGGCACGATCCGATCCGAGGTGCCCTGAGGCGCCGCGTCGTACGAGGGACGCGATCTGAGAGGTCTTTGAGAATTCTCATCAGCCCATCGCTGCTTCTCGTTTGACGGCTTCTCGTTTGACAGCTTCTCGTTTGACGGCTCGTGCGACCATCCCGATCGCGCTGTGCGGGGAGACAGAGAGTTGGGTCTAGCGCCCGCGACCACCAAACAACTTATTCTGGCCGCTGTTGGGTTTTTAAGGAGAGCTGGCGTCTTGCCTCTTGCCGACTACCCCGCATTTGTCCCCCGCTATAGTCACGCCATAACGTCCCGGCTCGCAAATTCCCAGGGAAAATATATTTGACTACTGTTCTGTACGTCTCGCGTGACTATAGCGAGCGGCGACGTCGGGTTGTGCCGCGAGGGGTGTAGTAGGCAGGTGACTGTATAGGTTGCGGCAGTAACGGGCGTCTGCAACGATGATGCGAACAGGGAGGGAGAGTGAAGTGCGGACGCAGAAGAAAGTCGAAGAGGGTAAGGAAGTAGCCGCGTGTAAGGAAGTCGAAGAGGTTAAGGGAAACCGGCTCTTTTACCCAGTGTGCTCTAAGACGCTTTGAAATTAAACCTGTTACTTACTACTTCCACAAACTCACTTCACGCTGTCACCAAACCCTCTCTCTACGACCATCCCCGGGTTTCTTTGCAGCCTTACTTAGCAAGAAGGAGCGAGCCGCGAGCGGTCAAGGAGTGCCACAGGGAGATAGAGGCGTATGCAGAGTCAGTCAACCCGATCAGTCATGCAGATTGCGGCTCAGTCAACCCGATCATCTCCCCCTGTCAATCTGCCTCTCTCCCTTCACTTGCAGCCCTCCGGACGAGAATGAAAGAGAGAGCGCTCAAGGAGTGCCACAAGGAGATAGAGGCTTATGCCGAGTGCGTGCGAGGGCGTGTGTTCTCCATTGTGTGGGCGTGCCGAGCACATTCCAACGACCTCAACAACTGTCTGCACCAATAGTAAGCAGTGGTCCCATGAATGAGCTGCGCGGGTGGTACAAGGAGACCGAGTGCGTGCGAGGGCGTGTGCTCTCCATCGTGTGGGCGTGCCAAGCACACGCCAAGGACTGTCTGCACCAGTAGTAAGCAAGCAATTGTTACACTGATCGTGGTGTTACCACTTCTGGTACATGAGAGGGCGTGTGCTCTCCATTGTGCAGGCGTGTACGGCTTACGGGTTTTGCGAGGCAGCGGTTCTGAGATAGCTAGAGCTTAAGAGGATGAACAGAAGGTTTTGAGTCAAACCAGCATGAACCAGTTTTGGCTGTGGAAAACCTTCTCACAATGGCTGCCTCGCAAAGCATTTAGCACCATGTCCGGAAGGTTTAACCGTTCTTCCTCATCTCCATGCATCCTCTCCTCTCCCTAGAGACCCTTGCCTAATGCATCCTCAGCATTTTCTGTGCCATGCCTCAGTGCCCCCCGTTCTTCCCTCCGTCTATTGATTTTGCAGGGTGTTTTTGAGAATTCTCAAAAACACCCTGCAATTTTCTGTGCCATGCCTCATTGCCCCCCGTTCTTCCCTCCGTCTATGCTGCTCTGGACCCCATACGATTTTTTCCCAGCAGAAATGATGCAGTGTTGGACCAGTATACGCAGGATTACATGGAGCAACAGCAGCAGTGACTTATTCCTGCCTCTCTTTCTTCTCCCCCCCTTTCCTCCCAGCACCAACGATGCAGTGTTGGATCAGTACAAGCGAGATTACATGGAGCAGCAGCAGTATCCACAGCAGCATGAGCAGAAGCAAGAGCAACCATAGCGGCAACAGCAGCAGCAGCAGGAGCAAGAGCCTCAGCATGAGCAAGAGCATTCGGCATGAGCCAGTAACTGCATGCATATGTTGACTCCGTTGTTCGTCAACATAGCTATGGCATTTGCGACCTGGAAAAGTACCCCGTTGTTCGTCCTCCAAAGTGTTCACTGAGAAAATGTCACTTGAGTTGAAGTTAAGTATTTCTAAACTGGAGGCCCAAGTAGCACCTAAACAAATGTACCTAACACAACCAGCCGCAGCATCCGGCACACATCGACATAGAGCCTGACTCCTAGTAGCTTCCCTATCTAGGCAGCAGCCCCTTCGGCAGCAGGTGTGCCCTCCCCCTAGTGCTACCTGAGCACCACGAGGTGTTGAGAGCTTCACCCATGCAGCAGCCCCATCAGCAGCAGCAAGCCACCTAAGCAGCAGCGCCATCAGCAGCAGGTGCGCCCTCCCCCGAGTGCTGCCTGAGCACCATGAGCGCTTCCTCCACCTTGGCCAGGAGGGCGTCAGGTGATTCCAACAGAAGCAGCAGCTCACTGTTGTCCATCTCCAGCAGCATGCCCGTGATCTTACCCGCCAGCTCGGGCTGCCATGGGAAGGGAGGAAAAGCAGGGAAGATGGAGAAGGAGAGACGGATACAGGGTGTCGGAAACAAGAGCAAGGTGATTCCAGCAGCACCAGCAGCTCGCTGTTGTCCATCTCCAGCAGCATGCCCGTGATCTTACCCGCCAGCTCGGGCTGGTAACGGGAGGGAGGGGGGAGAGGAAGAAATATGGGGCAGTAGAGGGGGACATCAAGGGTGGGAACTCGGGAGAAGGGATGTTATTCCAACAGCAGCAGCAGCAGCAGCAGCAGCATGCCCGTGATCTTACCTGCCAGCTCGGGCTGAAAAGGGGAGATGGAAGGGGATGTGGAAGTAGGGAACCATGAATGTAGTGGAGGGGGATGGGACGTGGGGAGGTGATTCCACCAGCAGCACCAGCAGCAGCAGCAGCTCGCTTCTGTCCATCTCTAGCAGGATGCCCGTAATTCTACCCGCCAGATCATCACAAAACCAGGCGGGCACAAAACCCAGGCCAGTCGCCCTAACCAGAAAGCCTCCCCCCTTCTCACCTGGTGCTGCTCCCTTCTCACCTGGTGCTGTTGAATGAGCGGGAAGAGGCGCTCTCCCAGCATCTGCTTCTGCTGCGCCGGAGGAGCTGCAGCCAGGGCCGTCGGATTGAGCGGATCGGACGGCAGGGGCATGGGCGCAGCGGGAGGCACCACACCCGGCGCCATGGGGACGGGCACCACGGGGACTGGCACGGCTCCCATGGGCAGCATCTGGAGATTAGAAGGGGGTGGGTATGGGAGGGAGGAGAATGGGGTTGGAGGACACGAACGTGAAGGGGGCAACACACCCAGCACCATGGGGACCGGCACCACGGGGACTGGCACAGCTCCCATGGGCAGCATCTGGCGATTAGAAGGGGGGTTCCAATGGGGTGGGGGGGGGGGGGGTATGGGGGAGAGGAGAGGGGTCAGGATGAACAAAGGGCACCACACCCGGCACCATGGGCACTGGCACAGCTCCCATGGGCCAAATCTGAGGTTCGACAGGACGGGGGGGCCGGGGGGAGAGGGAAGAGGGGTCAGTGGGTACACAACCGACAGCACACCCGGCACCATGGGGATCGGCACGACCGGCACTGGCACGGCTCCCATGGCCAGAATCTGGCGTTCAAAAGGGTCAGTGGTAGAAGGGGGGGAGAGAGGGGTCAGGGGCACAAGGGGCACCACACCCGGTGCCATGGGGGCAGGTGGGACTGGCACTGGCACAGCTCCCATGGGCAGCATCTGGCGTTTAGAAAGGGGTGGGTAGGAGAGAGAGAGGAAAGGGGTTGGAGGACACGAGAGTGGAGGGGGCAGCACACCCAGCGCCATGGGGACCGGCACCACAGAGACTGGCATGGCTCCCATGGGCAGCGGAATTTCAAAAGGGGTTTGGGGGAGAGGGGGGGGGGGAGGGGAGAGTGGGGGTAGTGGGGTGGAGAGAGGGGGGGGGGGGGAGAAACGGGGCCAAACGGGAGGGAGAGCGGGGAAACGAGGGTTGACTGAGGCGCCTTCAGATGCTATGGGAACGGGCGACAGACGCACAGGCGGCTTCTGACTGCCTACCCCCTTCATCTCCCTCCCTGGTGGCAGCACCCATACACCCATACAACCCCTCCCGCCCAACCACCCGTTCCCCCCACACAACCCATACACCCCCCCCCCCCCCTCCCCTCACCTGCTGAGGCTGCTGTCCCTGCTGGGGTCGGCCCCGGCCCTGGCGCTGGCGAGGACCAATGGACGCCTGCAGATGGGCGCGGGGGGGAAGGGAGCGGGGGAAGGGAGGGCGGGAAGGGAGCGGGGGAGACAAGACACATGCTGAGGCAGGGGATTGGCTATAGGACGTTGTGGAGAGGCACACAGTGGGAAGTGTCCTCTATGCCCGGGGGGGGGGGGGGGGGGGGGGGGATGGGTGGGGCAACTTGGGGACTCAAGGAGTTGGGCAAATGGTTTTCTTTAGGCGCCTAAAAATCGTCTCTCTGTGCACAAGGTGGAGGGGGGGGAGTTGCTCCAAAGGTGTTGCTCCAAGTGGGGCAACTGGAAGTCTCAAGGAGTCCGCCTTTCAAACCAGCACCACAGGTGTTGCTTTCAAAACCTCTCCAAAGCACACCCTAGGTCCAGAATCTCAATCAGATTCGCGTTGCAAGCCCCTTCACCCATGGCCTCGCCGGCCACCCACGCTAAGTGCCCTACTCACATAGTAATTCGGCATGGGCTGGATGGAAGCCTCCCTTCGGCATGGGTCCTCTCCACTCACCCCCTGCCTCTGCCTCTGCCTCTGCCTCTGCCTCTGCCTTTGCCCCTCCCAGCCCCTTCCCCCATGTCCCTGCCTCCCGCCCTGAGTGCACAACTCACATTGTAATTCGGCATGGGCTGGAAGCCTCCCCTCGGCATGGGCCCCCGCCACGCGCCCCGCCCCATCATCTGCGGATACACCACCCCCTGCCCCTGCCTCTGCGCCTGCCCCTGCGCGCCCGCTCCCCCCGCCAGCACCCCAGGGGGGGGCGCAGCATAGAAGATCGGCGCACCAGGGGGGAACATGGGGGCACCAGGGGGCATACCCCCAGGGGCCCCAGCAACCCCAGGGATCGGCCCCCCAGCAGCAGCGGCAGCGGCGGCGGCTGCTGCTGCTGCGGCGGCGTTGGGGGGGAGGACAGCGCCCGGGGGGAGGGTTGCCCCTGGGGGGAGCGCCACGCCGGGGGGAAGGGCGCCCCTGAGCGCGAACTGCTGCTGCAGCTGCGCCTGGCGCACCTCCTTGCGCTGGGCTAGCGCCACGTACAGGGGACGCCCGTTCACCAGACGGCCTGTGGTGTGAATCACAAGCGGAAGAACAAGCAGGTGGGAGGGGTGGAGGGGAGGGGCCAGAGAGGACTTTTGAGTCGACTCAAAAGCCGACCCAAAAGGCTAGCGCCACGTACAGCGGACGCCCGTTCACCAGACGGCCTGTGGTGTGAATCACAAGTGGAAGAACAAGGAGCTGGGAGGGGTGGGGGGGAGGGGCCAGAGAGGGTGAGATGAATGCATGCTGAACTGCTGCTGCAGCTGCGCCTGGCGCACCTCCTTGCACTCGGCTAGCGCCACGTACAGCGGACGCCCGTTCACCAGACGGCCTGTGGTGTGTGGGAGCGGGGTGGGGAGAGAGGGGGTGACAGGGGTTGGGGAGGGGGGATGATGGGTGGGGGGGGTACCAGAGCGGTTGAGATGTATGCATGCAGACAGATCTTGAAGGACGCGTGGCGGACCTCCTTGCACTGGGCTAGAGCAAGCAACCTCCCACGTAGAGGCGACGCCCGTTGCGTTGGCCAGACGCCCTGATGGGAGGGAGTGGGGGAGGTGCATTTGAGAGAGGTGGATGTGGGGGAGGTACATGTGGGAGAGATGCATGTGGGGGAGGTTAATGTGGGGAGATGCGTGTGCACATACTGAGATATCTCATCAGTGTTGGCGAAACACACAAAAACCCAAACCCCCGGCTCACGCGGCTCTTGTAATCAAAATATTTAAATGAATGAATAAATAAATAAATAAATGAGTACATATACAACTGCCCTTCACGCCTCACTTGAGTACCACAGGCAACCCCGTATGCACTCATTTAACGAAGGTCCTTCAATCTCACCATTGGCTTCCACGACAGCGCGGCTGGCCTCATCCGTGTTAAGCACACAAAGCCAAACCCCCGCAACCCCTACTAGACGTCACCGGCATGCTTCTTCGTTGCTCGCTCACCATTGGCCTCCATGATCGCCCGGCTGGCCTCTCAGTGTCGGCGAAGCACACAAGCCCCAAAACCCCGCTCGTACCCAACCCCAACCCAACCCTTACTGTGGCAACAAAGGTCCTGCAAGCTCACCATTGGCCTCCATGATGGCGCGGCTGGCCTCGTCAGTGTTGGCGAAGCACACAAAGCCGAACCCGCGGCTGGTGCCCTTGTCGTCGCGCATCACCTTGGCCGACGTGATCGCGCCAAACCCGGCAAACTCCGCCCTCAGGCGCTCGTCATCCACCGCCTCCTCGAGGTTCTTCACGTACAGGTTGGTGGTCTGGCGAGAGGGAGGGCGGGGGGACGGGAGGGAGGGGGGTGGGTGTTTGGGGGTTTGAAGTGTTGAAAAACGTGGCCCACTTTTCGCCATCAGGCGCTCGTCGTCCGCTGCTTCCTCCAGGTTCTCGACATACACGTTGGTGGTCTGGCGAGGGGAAGGGGGGTGGTGCGGGGGGGGCGGGGAGGGAGGAGTGTCAAGAAATGCGGCTCCCCCTCGGCCCTCAGGCGCTCGTCGTCCACCGACTCCTCGAGGTTCTAGAAGTGCAGCTTGGTGGTCTCGTGAGAGGGACGGCGGGGGGACGGGAGGAGAGCGGGGGCAAGGGGGCAAGGGGGGGGGAAGGGGGGGAGGGTGGTTTGAAGTGTTGAAAAACGTGGCTCTATTTTCGCCCTCAGGCGCTCGTCATCCACCGACTCCTCCAGATTCTTCATGTACAGGTTGATGGTCTGGTGAGAGGGAGTGGGGAACAAGGTAGCGGGGAGGAGGGGGGAGGTGGGGGGGGAAGGGAGAAGGGAGGAGAAGGGGGGGGGGTGAGACATGCGCCCTTCTCTCCGCCTTCAGGCACTTGTCGTCCACCGACTCCTCAAGGTTCTTGACGTACAGGTTGGTGGTCTGGCGAGGAGGCGAGGGGTTGGGGGTAGGAGATGCAGGTTCGTGACGTACAGGTTGGTGGTCTGGATGGGGGTGGGAAGAGGGCGCGAAGGACAGAGCGACGGCATGAGGGAAGCCCCGCTTACATAAAAAAAGTCCCCTAAACAGTCACTCCCCCCTATAATCACACCCCTCCTTTAAACTCTCACCTGAAATCGTTGCAGGCGCACCATCTTCTTCTCCTCGTACTGGCTTCGCAGCATCTGCTCCATCTCACGCCCCCCCCCTCCCCAAGAATCATCCTCGACACAATCCCACTTCGCTCTTATCACTGGAAGCGCTGAGCTGCAGGGGCTCCTCATTCATTTTCTTGAGCTGGCTTCGCAGCATCTGCTCCCTCCCTCCCTCCCTCCCAACACTCTCTTATCCCCTCCTCATAAAGTCACTGCACAAGTTCTATGTAATCACAACTTGTTATAATCACCTGGAATCGCTGCAGGCGCTCTATCTTCTTCTCCTCGTGCTGGCTTCGCAGCATCTGCTCTCGCATCCCTACCATCCTCCACCCACACAGTCACACGCATCGCCCCATCACGCGCCCCCAATATAATCACCTGACACCAGCTGTCACACATCCCCCATCACATCCCCCTCTATAATCACCTGGAAGCGCTGCAGGCGCTCCATCTTCTTCTCCTCATACTGGCTTCGCAGCATCTGCTCTCGCTCTGACTTCTTCTGCGCGCGCGCCACCAGGATGGCCTTGGAGCCTGGCGAGCAGAAAGAGAGGAAGAGAGGAGGGAGGGGTGGGGGGGGAAGGTGGGTTGTGTAGAGAGGGACAGGGGAATGAGAGGGAAAGAAAAGAGGAGGAAAATTTGAGTGAGACGGAAAGAAAGTGATGAAAACCACGCGGGAGGGAAAGAAAATAGGAGGGAAGACTGAGGGTACGTCTGTGTAGCAGCTGTACACGCGGCCATTTATACTACCCAATCAAACACCAGACTGCGCGTTACTGAGCTTCTCAACGGCTCCCTGCACACTGGCCGGGTGCTGGAAGTTCAAAAACCCAAACCTCTTCAACTAGGTTTGAGCAGCGGGTCGGATCGGGTCGGGTAACCTGACCCCAACCCGACTTTATGACGAATCAGGTCGGCATTTGCAGAGGGTCGACCCGACCCGACCCGATATAGCCGGATCCCTCGGGTCGGCTTACTACCTGCCCCTGCCCGTGCCGATCCGACCCGACCCGAAACCGGGTCAGGTAGTACCCGACCTATTAAACACGGGTCGGGTTAACCTTTCCTGAACTCGGACCTTCCCTGGGTAGTACCCGAACCCGACATCGGGTAGGGCGAAGTCGGGTCGGGTCGGGTCGGGTCGGGTCTCAAGCCTACCTTCAACCCCAACTGCCAGTCAAACAAGCGACTCAGGCTCTCACCGAACTGGGCGTTGTTGAGCTTCTCAATGGCTTCCTGCGCACTGGACGGGTCCTGGAAATTCACGAATCCAAAGCCCGTGGACACGCCGGCATCATCGCGCATCACGCCCGCGTTGGTGATCGGCCCGATCTCCCCGAACTTGGCGAACACTCACCAAACTGGGCATTGTTGAGCTTCTCAACCGCCTCCTGGGCACTCGCGGGGTCCTGGAAATTCACGAATCCAAAGCCCTTGGACGCGCCGGCATCATCGCGCATCACCACAGCGTTGGTGATTGGCCCGATCTCCCCGAACTTAGCAGCGAGCTGCTCCTCGGTGACCTCGGGGTCCAGGTTGCGCACAAACACGTTCGTGAACCGCGCCTGCTGCCCGTCCGAGTCGCGCTCGCCCCTCTTGAGGAACTTGCCCACGAAGCTGCAGGGAGGAGGGGGAAGTTGGGGGGGTGAGAGGGAAAGAGGGAGGGAGGGAGGGAGAGTCAAACCCAGTCAAAGCCAGTCAAACCAAGTCGACTCACACTTTCTTGCCTTCCAGCAGTATGCGGTTGACCTTCTCAATCGCCAGGTGTTCACCCCCACCTCCCTCCCCTACCTTCCCCCCAAACACCCAATCCCAACCACTCAGGTCAAACCCAGTCAACCCCAGTCAACCCGAGTCACCCCCCGCGAGCCACTCACACTTTCTTGCCTTCCAGCAGCATGCCGTTGACCTTCTCGATCGCCAGGTTCGCCGCCTCCTCCGTCTCGAAGTGCACGAAGCCGTAGCCCTTGCTCTTGCCGTCGGGCGTCACGGCGATCTTGCACGACCAGATGGGGCCGAACGCGCTGAACGTGTCATGGAGGGCCTTGTGGTCGATCGACTCGTCCAGGTTCTAGGGGCGGGAGAGGCGGGAAGAGGCCGGGTCAGGGAAGGGGAGGGGAGGGGGGAGGGGAGGGGAAGGGAAGGGGCACAGCAGAAGGCAAAGGGAGGGGAGATGAGTCGTGACGCCGCTGCGACAGTGGCTGGGGTCACGGTGGGACCACATGATGCGAATGGGTCACCCACCACCCCTGCTCGTTCACCCAATCCCCTCCCCGCTTGCTCCCCGCTCCCAGCATACACACACAGAGCAGGCCCAACGTACCTTGATGAAGATGTTCCCCACGCCGCTGCGGCGGTGGCTGGGGTCGTGGTGGGACCGCAAGACGCGGATGGGTCACCCACCACCCCTGCCTTTGAGTCTGCTTCTGAGTCGACTCAAATAAACCCCCCTCCCCGCTTGCCCTCCCCCCCGCTCCCAGCGCACACGCACACAGCAGACCCAATGTACCTTGATGAAGATGTTCCCCACGCCGCGACCCATGATGCGGACGAGTCTCCTTTTGCCCGTTCACCCACCCACCCACCCCTGTCCTCTCCAACCCTCTCCCCGATTGCCCCCCGCTCCCAACGCACACGCACACAGCAGGCCCAATCTACCTTGATGAAGATGTTCCCCACGCCGCTGCGGCGGTGGCTGGGGTCGCGGTGGGACCACATGATGCGGATGGGCCGCCCGTTCACCTCGCGGTAGTTCAGCGCCTCCATCGCGCGCTCGGCTGGAAGAGAGAGGGGAGGAGGGGGGGGGGGGGGAAGGGGAGACGGACAGGCGAGTAAGGCGGAGAGTGCGAGGCGGGGGTGAGGCTGGGGAAGACTGAGGACAGGATGGGCTGACAGGAGCGAGGGGAATGGGAAGGGAATGGGAGCCGACGGGTTTCTTGATAACCACGCGTAGGGATCCACGCGGAGGACACTACGAGGAAAGAAAACCAATGGTCGAGACTTTCAACCTGGCGAAACTTCTGGCGAAACCCTAGCGAAAAATCTGGGTGCAGCCTGTGAAGTATCGGATGAAGCGGGTGGGACGATGGGCGGAGCCGGAAAACGTTTCGGGTCGACTCGAAAACTTGTACAGCGACTGGACGGATCGGAAGAAGCGGCTTACCTGCATGCTCTGTTGAAGCGACGATCCACACAGAAACGAAGCGGCAGTATCGGGGATGTGTTCAGCCGGGTATGGCAAATGCAGAGGGGAGGGGGGGAGGGGGGAAGAGGAAAGGAGGAAAAAGGAATCGGACGGGGAAGAGCAGAGGGAAACAATTAGGTTAGACGTTAAACAACCTGCAACTACCCTGCAACGCCACGCAACTGCAAGAATACCCGCCGGCCTGCACAAGCTCGGCTTCAGTGTTACATATAGGACGCACCTCGCGCATGCTTCGATTGTGCTAACAAACGATCTGAACTATTCTGAAGGCTCAAGTCCATGCGATCCTTATCATTCGCGCTACGGATCAAGGAATCCAGGAAATTAAGAATCTAAGAATCTAGGAATCTAAGAACCAAGGAATCTGACAAGAAACTAGTTAGGCGACCATCTGATAGTCAGACAAAATCTTTAAGCGATACCCGGCCAGTGTTCTCCACCGATTAACGCGCAGCGCACAGGTCGAATATCAAAACAGTCAGGAGGGAAGGCGACGAGGAACGGACGATGAACAAGTCTAAAACCACCGAAAATGAGAACAGATGGTCGCACATGTTAAAGCAGCATGACGAACGTGTCGGTGAGGTCTGAAAGGCATACCCGATTGGAAGAAACCTATCCTATGCAACAACAAATCGTCGGCACTGTTCGCCGATTTGTTAAACACTAATCACCTACCAGCAGCAACGGCGACATTGTTCACCTTGCGTAAACGCGCGACCAGCGAGTGAATCCGAGGAAACGGCATAGATCGCCAGGGAGTGGAAGGAGAAAAGGAGAGTCAAGCGGATCAAACTCGCCGTCGACGGCAGAATTGTCGGTTGATCATACCGTCGACGGCGCTGTTGTAGTTGACGTAGGCGTAGCCCAGGGATCGGCGCGTGACGGCGTCGCGGCAAACGCGGATGGATGCGACCGGGCCGACCTGGCTGAAGAGCTCGTAGAGCTGCGCCTCTGTAACCTCCTTGTCCAGATCGCCCACGTACAGCGACGCCGACGGCGCTGCGGCCCCCGCGGTAGCCATGGCTTCTCGAGAGAGAGAGAGAGTACGAGTTGAAGAGGATAAAGCTTGGAGAGAGACTTGAGAGGCTAGCTCGGAGGCTAGCTCGAATGAGACTGGTTAAGGCTGGTCTGCACTGTACCGGTACGACGATGGAACGAAGACAGTACAACGACGGTACTTAACTAGGGCTGGGGATTAGAAAGCCCTAACTACCGATCTAGGATCGGCAACCAAAAACGGCTACTGGTACTCGCGTTTCTGGCCTAATTTTCCTGGTTTTCTATATTTTTTTGTGGTTTTCTAGTTAAAGCCCCCGAGGGGAACGGAAGAGGAGACTCAGAGACTCATATGAGGCAACAGAAGCAACCTGCAGGGGCAGGCATAGCCCAGGCAGGATGATGTTCCTCGGTGAAGCTAGGGTTTCTGGAAGGGGGTTTTCAGAAGAGAGAAGAGGGAGGAAGTGGAGGGACCTGGCGGTGTTTTCAAGATCAGAGAAAGGGAGGAAGAAGAAGCTGCATCCTCGTTTTAACTATGTTCGTCATAGCGTTTAGGAACACAAATGCACATCCTCGTTTCGTTAGGTTGAAAAGTCTGTGCTCTGTTGTTATCGAGAGGGCTTGTTGCGCATCAGAATGTTCCACAATTTCGAGGCCTCCCTTCCCGCCCAACAAATGTGGTGGTGGTGAATGATGGACCATGTCCCCGTTTCAAGTTGCTCCGTTAAGGTTTCAGGAGCGAAGCAATGACTGATCCCGTTATGAAACTGGTGTCCCGCGAAATATACTCGGCAATCCCAAAGGTTTTCTGCCCATCTAGCAGTGCATTTGACAATAGCAACAGTCATAGAAGACCATACCATAGCCACATAACCAGCAGGCAACAGCCTACGTCGTTACGACTATCATCGTCTCTCTTGGTGTTGACCACGCTCGAAGCACGTATCTAAGTCTAATCCTTGACCGAAGCCTGCCGCTTGCCGCTAGTCGCTTGTAGCTTTCCTAAGTCGTATCGTGCCTGAAGCCAGAACAGCGGCTGAATACGCGGTACGCACAGGCAGGAACATGTCGTGACAGTGTCTGGCTGGACGGAAGTGTAGCTGATCGTTAGAACGTTCTGTGGCGCTCCTGACTGCCATGGGTAGAGAGAGAGAAAGGCACCCGCTTACCCAAGAGAGACCCGAGAGACAAAACCGGCGTGCGCCGATAATGCTCTAGGGGCAGAGAGTCCCTTTCACGGCAACTTCTGAGTCGACTTAGAAGTCACCTCGTTACAATGTCACACGACACATTAAGGAAACCGTCGTGTGCCGATAATGCTCTAGGGACAGAGAGACCCTTTCACGGCAATGGCGAGTAGTTTGAATTCCTCACACCCTCTCGCGTTTGCCGCGTCTGACGTGCAGGCGATGTGTCTCGTTTCACGAGTGATTTTCTGGAAATTTCAAAGCGAAAGTCTTACGCTCGAATTGTTATATCGACCATAATGAACAAGGCTCTTCTGCTCGCTTTGGCTCGGATTCTCCACGGCGTTTGAATTCAGTTTGGTTCTGAAGTATTCTCAATATTCAGAGTCTAACAAGACCCGACCACAATGAACAAGGCGTTTCTGCTCGCCTTGGCTCGCATTCTCCACGGCGGTTCGCTCCCCCTGCACAACGCTGCCCGCAAGAGGAAGAAGAAACTTCCCAGACGTTTCTGCTCTCCACTGCGTGTGCTGCTGCTGCTCCTGGTTCTGACAGTTGTCAGCGTGGCTCTGCTGCTGCGCTCGTTTCACCAGCAGCGGCAAATAGCAGACGAGGTGAGAGACGGAACCCTATGTCTGTGGTAGAAGGAAGCACCTCTAGAAGGGCTGCTCCTGCCTCTGATGGTTGTCAGCGTGGCTCTGCTGCTGCGCTCGTGTCACCAGCAGCGGCAAACAGCAGACGAGGTAGGATTCTTGAGGACTGTTTAGGTGCCCTACAATGGCTGCTCCTGGCTCTGCTGGCTCAGCAGCAGTCCTCAAGAAAAGAGCGCTCTTTTCATCACCAGCTGCGCTCTTTTCACCACCAGCTGCCTCTAGAGCTGTTGCTCTTGGCTCTGACAATTGTCACCGTCGCTCTGCTGCTGCGTTCCTTTCACCAGCAGCGGCAAACAGCAGAGGAGGTGAGAGACAACCGCCACTGCGACCCATCTTCATAATCGACCCTCCCCAACTCTTCCAAGCAACCCTCACCAACTCTTCCAAGCAACCCTCACCAACTCTTCCAAGCAACCCTCACCAACTCTTCCAAACAATCCTCCCCATACCCGTGTTGAAACCCCTCCCTTCCTCACTCTCTTCCCCCACGTTCCCCCCAGTCCGGCCCCAAGAGTCTCATCCGCTACAGTGCCTACCGCCTGGGCGGCAGCTCTTTCGCTGTGCTTGGTCTGGGTCTGGGCGCTTTACATCTCCGCGTGCGCACCCGCCTGCTTCCCCAGGTGCTCGTGGCATGAGAACGGGGCCCCGCAGGGGATGCAGGGGTACTGGGAAAGGTGGAGGCGTTTTAACCTGTACCCTTTCTTCCACGCACCCCCCTACCCCCCTCTCCGCCCCCTCCTTTACGCAGTCTGGGCCCAAGGGTTTCATCCGCTACAGTGCCTACCGCCTGGGCGGCAGCTCCTTCGCTGTGATTGGTCTGGGCGCTTTGAGGCTCCGCCTGCGAACGCGCTTCCCCGGGTGCTCGTGGCATGAGAATGGGGCTCCCCCCGGGGATGCAGGGATACCGGGAGCGGTGGAGGCGTTTTACCCTGGGGAGCACCACGACTTGGAGTATGAGGCGGTGGTTCTAAAATGCTTGCTGAGGCACAACACACATACTACACAAGGGGGAAAGTTGCTGCTGCAGGTGGGTTCAGGGTGGTTGCAAATAGCTGCAGGTGGTTGTTCGAGTGGAATGGGGATACAGAGAAAGGTGGAGGCGTTTTACCCCGGGGAGCACCATGACTTGGAGTATGAAGCGATGGTGCTGAAGAGCAACTTGCGCCACAACCTTGCCACGCCAAGGGGAAAGCTGTTTCTGCAGGTGGGCTGGGCTCGGTTCAGGTGGGGTTGAGTGTTTTGGGGGAGATTGAGAAAGGTGGAGGCGTTTTACCCTGGGGAGCACCATACCTTGGAGTATGAGGTGGTGGTGCTGAAATGCTTGCTGCGGCACAACACACATGCCAGTAGAGCGGGCAAGCTGCTGCTGCAGGTGGGTTGTGACGGGTTCAGGTGGTGTTGGTGGCATACCAACGCTTTCCCTGCCTTCCTTCCTGCATGTCCAAAGCAGCAGTCTGTGGCGTGAGGAGTCTGTTTTCAAAGCGCCTCAACAGTAGCTTCCTTCCTGCATGTTTAAGCAGCAGCCTGTGGTGTACCACGAGCCACCCAACGCCTTCCCTGCATCCCTGCCTTGATCCCCTCCTCCCCCGCACTCACACCACACCAGGTGCATGTGGAAACCACCCATGGCTCTCGGGTCCTATCAGTCAACCAGCAGCAGGTGGTAGCCTACAACGAGCCACCCAACGCCTTCCCTGCATCCCTGTCGTTATCCTCTCCTTCCCCACGCACTCACACCAGGTGCATGTGGAAACCACCCATGGCTCTCGGGTCCTATCAGTCAACCAGCAGCAGCTGGTGGCCTATCATGAGCCACCCAACGCCTTCCCTGTGTCTCTGCCTTTATCCTCTCCTTCCCCACACACTCATACCAGGTGCATGTAGAAACCACACATGGCTCTCGGGTCATATCAGTCAACAAGCAGCAGCTGGTGGCCTATCATGAGCCACCCAACGCCTTCCCTGTGTCCCTGGAGCCGCATCCCCCTTATAAGCACCGCGTGGCGTTCTGCTCGCCTCCAGTACACTCGGAACTGGATGGGAGGAGGCTATATGAGTGGCTGGAGTACCATTATCATCTGGGCGTGGACTACTCGATCATGTATGACGCAGGGGGCATCGATGACGAGGTCACTCAGGTGAGTGAGAGTGACTTTTCCAATCACCAGAGGCGACACAGGTGAGGGTGGCACTGCAACACCAGTGTGTAATGAGTCTGTGTTTGAGTTGACTCAAAAATAGACTCACTACATACGAGGCGACGTCACACAGGTGAGAGTGACACTGCAACACCAGAGTGTAATGAGTCTATGTTTGAGTCGACTAAAAAATAGACTCATTACACACGAGGCAACACAGGTGAGAGTGACACTGCAACACCAGAGTGTAATGAGTCTATGTTTGAGTCGACTAAAAAATAGACTCATTACATACGAGGCGACACAGGTGAGAGTGACACTGCAACACCAGAGTGTAATGAGTCTATGTTTGAGTCGACTCAAAAATAGACTCATTACATACGAGGCAACACAGGTGAGAGTGACACTGCAACACCAGAGTGTAATGAGTCTATGTTTGAGTCGACTCAAAAATCGACTCATTACATACAAGGCGACACATGTGAGAGTGACACTGCAACACCAGAGTGTAATGAGTCTATGTTTGAGTCGACTAAAAAATCGACTCATTGCATACGAGGCGACACATGTGAGAGTGACACTGCAACACCAGGGATTCATGCCGTTTCTCTTGTCAGAAGAAGCTGTATGACTGGCTGGAATACCTTTCTCATCTGGGAGTGGACTATTCGATCATGTATGACGCAGGGGGCATCGATGACGAGGTCACTCAGGCGTGAGAGTGACTTTTCCAATCACCAGAGCTCCATTTCTGAGTCTATTGTCACCAGCAATTCGTTTCCCGCCTTCTTCTCAGAGGCGACTTTTGAGTCGACTCAAAAGTCTTCCTGCCTTCTTCTGAGAGGCCTCACCATACAAAAGTACAAATGCTTTCTATGTACTCTTTTTTTGTGGTTCTCCTAAACGCTTGGCTGGCAGGTCCTGATACCATACGAGCAAGCAGGGTTGTTGGAGGTCCGAGACATTGGAGACTTTCTAGAATACGAGACGTGGCTCTACGCACAGGTGAGTTGGGATGACATCTTGGGTTGTCAGCAGCAGTAACCAGTCAAGCAAAACACAGGACTGCTGGAGGACAGAGGCATTGGGGAATCTCACAACAGCAGTACTCCTTTCATTTCGTGGATACGAGACCAGGTGCACGCACAGGTGGGTGGGCTTACATGGTAAAGCGTTTTCAAGGCTCGTTCGTAATAAAATTCAGGGTGATGATGGTCAACGACTGTGCCTACCCGTTACGAGTCGTCTCAAAAGTGTGTGTGCATAGAAGCTTATCCACGTTCTTGCTCTGTAGGGTGTCTTTTAGAATTCTCGGAAGTGTTTTTGAGAATTCTAAAAAACACCCCTCTAAAGCGTATGTGCATGCAAGATAACTCTGTAACAGGTGATGGTGACTTCCCTGCGGGAATCTGATCGTTACAGTTCGTGTTTGTCAGCGACCGTGCGTACAGCAGACCTTGGCTGTCACCGACGGAGTCTGTGCATTATCTGTTCGTGTCATCGTGTTACCATGTTACATGTGATGGTGGTCAACGACTGTGCCTATAGCAAGTTTTTGCCACGACCGACAGTGCCTATGCATCATCCCGTTCGTGTCATCGTGTTACCATGTAACAAGTGATGGTGGTCAATGACTGTGCCTACAGCACCCTTTAGGTGCGACTGACAGTCCCTATGCATTATCCGTGTGTGTTACGGCACATGTTACCATGTTACAGGTGATGGTGGTCAATGACTGTGCCTACAGCACGCGATACTCTGCCAAGTGGACTCTCTTCTTCGACCTTGACGAGTTTTTCAACGCGGATGACCCTCCGCCACCGCAAAAGGTACCAATCAGCATATATCATCTTTGTTTAATCTGACACGACATATCAGCTCACGGATCATCCATGTTCAAGGCACCTAAGAAGGCACGCGCTACTCTACCGCGTGGAGTCACTTGTTCGACTTCGACGAGTGCGTCAATGCGAATGATTCCCTGCCGCCCCAAAAAGTACACGAGTTGTCGTTGTTTGGGAGCCCTAACTCTCAAACGAGGTGGCTTTAGTTCGAGGTACAAGCGTGCCTTGAGGCAGGGTGAGATAGCTTAACTTCCCCGCTTAATGCCTCCAGCCGAAGGCAGACACACGCACCCATGTCTTTTGAGTTGACTCAAAAGCCAACCGTGCCTTGAGGTAGGCTGAGACTGCTCTTAATGCCTCCAGGTGAAGCAGACATACACACCCATGTCTTTTGAGTCGACTCAAAAGCCAACCGTGCATTGAGGTAGGCTGAGACTGCTCTTAATGCCTCCAGGTGAAGCAGACACACACCCCCATGTCTTTTGAGTCGACTCAAAAGCCAACCGTGCCTTGAGGTAGGCTGAGACTGCTCTTAATGCCTTGAGGTAGGCTGAGACTGCTCTTAATGCCTTGAGGTAGGCCTTAATGCCTTGAGGTAGGCCTTAATGCCTTGAGGTAGGCCTTAATGCCTCCAGTGGAACCTTAATGCCTCCAGTGGAATCACCCACACACACCCACACACACACCCATGTCTTGCCCCCCCAAGGAGACGGCATGGCACACTGGCACAAGCAGCTGTGGCGGCTGCGAAAGAAGCACTTTTCCCTCACCCCTCCCTTCTGCTCCTGCCCTTGCTCACACCTGCGAACTACCCTCTCAATGCTCAAGTTGAAGCCCGCACCCACGTCCTCGCCACTCAGCTGGACTCCATGGAGCAGTGGCACAAGCAGCTGGGGCGGCTGCGAGATAGAGATAGGTTGGGACATCTCATTCACTGCGTTATCCCGTCCTTCGTCCCAGGTGGAAGCGCACACCCACGTGCTGGGCTAGCTACCCAATCAGACCCCTTGGAGCACTGGCACAAGCAGCTGTGGCAGCTGCAGTGGGAGCGCGCACCCACGTGCTGGCCACGCAGCCGGACGCCATGGAGCACTGGCACAAGCAGCTGTGGCGGCTGCGGAAGTGAGTGTGTTCCCTGCCCTTTACCCTTCCCACGCCCTAGGTCGAAGCCCACACCCACGTGCTGGCCTCCCAGCTAGACGCCATGGAGCACTGGCACAAGCAGCTGTGGCGGCTGCATGGGACCCCATACACGACCTCCCTGCTCCTGTCTCCGCCCCTTCTCCTAGGTTGAAGCCCACACCCACGTCCTCGCCACTCAGCTAGACGCTATGGAGCACTGGCACAAGCAGCTGTGGCGGCTGCGAAAGCGGTTCGCGCGAGAGAGACGGATGGAGCCGAAGAAGCAGAGAGAGATGGAGGAGGAAGAGGAGGAGAAGTGGGAAGGGGAGGAGGGGGGTGGGGGGGTGGTAGGGAAAGGGGGGGGGAGGAGGGGGAGAGGGAGAGGAGGGAAGGGGGTGGGGAGGAGCTGGGATGGGTATGCGGATGGGATGGATGCTACGAGGTGGATTGAGGGGGACGGGGCGGATGAGGGGGAGGAGGAGGTGGAGTTAGAGGGAGGGGAAGGAGGAGGAGGAGGAGGTTCAGGTGAAAACAACAGAGAAGCAGCAACAGCAGCAGCAGAAACAACATCAGCAGCAGCAGCAGCAGCAGAGTCAGCAGAGCAAGGGCCATCACACCGCACTCGTTTCTCCCTCGAGCAAAGGCGGGCAGCAGAGCAGGCCAAGGCGGGGGCGAACAGCACGGAAAGTAGAGAGGAGACTACAAAAGCCCGGCAGCAGCGGGTAGCTCGGCAGATGCGGGAGCAGTACAGGAAGCTGAGAGCACGGAGAAAAGAGGACGAGGAGGAGGAGGAGGAGAAGGAGAAGCTACCTGGGGAGGAGGAGCAGCAGAGGCATCTGCAGCAGCAGGTGGCGGAGCAGCAGTCTCAGCTGGAGGTGATTCGGGCATACAGAGAGCACCTGAAGCGGACTGCTGGCGATCAGAGGCTCATTCCGCTGGTGCTGGAGTCGTACGATGGGGCATCTTACCTGTCGCTTGGCACGCTGTGGTGGGACACGGAGAGGTGAGAAGCACATTGGTGGTGACCGGAGGCTCATTCATTCCCTTGGTGCTGGAGTCGTATGATGGGGCTTCGTGCCTGTCGTATGTGACCCTATGGTGGGACACTGAGTTGTAGGATGTGCACCTAGAAAGAGCATGCTTTATCCAGAAAGGTATACATCATCCAGAATGAGTGATGCCAAGAGTGAAAGTTGAAACACCCCATGAAAGCCCATGCCATTGTACCCCATGCCATCCCACCCCTTGCAATCCCCTGCACCCATGCCACATACCCTACCAGGTGCATCGACCCATCAGAGGCCAAGGGCACATGGGGCGTACAGCGCATGTTCTACCATTGGCCGCACATCTACTGCCTCAAACCCGAGCTCTTCCCCAGGTGGGACTATGCCTGACCATGTGACCATAACAGATGGGTGAGTATAGTGACTTTTGAGTCGACTCAAAGGGCACATGGGGCGTACAGCGCATGTCCTACCATTGGCCGCACGTCTACTGCCTCAAACCCGAGCTCTACCCCAGGTGGGACTATGGTGCCTGAGCATGTGACCGTAACAGACGGGTGAGAATAGTGACTCTTGAGTCGACTCAAAGGGCGCATGGGGAGTAAAGCGCATGTTCTACCACTGGCCGCTCTCTACTGCCTCGAACCCGAGCTCTACCCTAGGTGTGACTCTAGTGCAGGTGTGACTCTAGTGCAGGTGTGACTCTAGTGCAAGTGGGACTCTAGTGCAGGTGTGACTCTAGTGCAAGTGGGACTCTAGTGCAGGTGTGACTCTAGTGCAGGTGTGAATATGGTGCAGGTGTGACTCTGGTGCAGGTGGGACTCTAGTGCAGGTGTGACTCTGGTGCAGGTGTGACTATGGTGCAGGTGTGACTCTGGTGCAGGTGTGACTCTGGTGCAGGTGTAACTCTGGTGCAGGTGTGACTCTGGTGCAGGTGTGACTCTGGTGCAGGTGTGGCTCTGGTGCAGGCGGGAGCAGTTCGGAATCTAGTGCAGGCATGCCTGTGGCACAGGTGTATCTGGTGCAATGTACACTGGGTTGTATTTCCTCTCGCTGCCTTTGCATGTCAATTTTTCCTCACTCCCCTTTCTCACTCTCTTTCACAGACCCCTTCTTTCCTCTCCCTGTCTCTTCATTCCCCCCCCAGGGCCGAGATGTGCCTGGCCTGGACTACCATGGCCATCTCAAGTTTTCGGCGCTCCAGATCCACCGCCCGGTGCTCAACGACACGCACTGATTCAATCTTGCACACCCCCCGTTCTCCCCATCCCATTATCCCCCCCCAGGGCTGAGATGTGCTTGGGCCTACTACGGCCACCGGAGGTATGCCATGAGGCACCTCAGAACCTCTCTTCCGTGCTCCCTTTCCGCCCCTCCCCCCCTGCCTTGAAACCCAACCAGGGCTGAGATGTGCTTGGACTACTATGTCCAGCGCAAATACGCCGTGAATCCCCGCAAGATCACAGCGCTCCAGATCCACCACCTGGTGCTCAACGCCCCCATTGCCCTCAAACTCTGCTCCTCTCTCATCCCCCCACCAGGGCTGAGATGTGCTTGGACTACTACGGCCATCGCAAGTACGCCATAAACCCTCGCAAGGTCACGGCACTCCAGATCCACCGCCCGGTGCTCAACGACACGTACGGATTTGATCTCGACACCACTGTAGCGAAGCTCAACCATTTCCAAGGCTACGTGCAGCGGGCGAAGCCTCTAAATGCGACTGTAGATAGCAGTGATAGTAACGCGACAGCTAGTGCAGTGAAAGAGCAGCAGCCGCCTGCGTTTTGCTCGCAGATTATTCGTATGGATGAGCCGATTGTCTGGTGGGCGCGGGGTCAGGAGATTGGGGAGATAGCTTCTGAGGCTCAGAAACAGCCTCGTGTGCCGTTGGATGCCATCCAACCCACAGATGCAATTCAGCCCACATATACAGTGAGGGGGGGGGATTCTTGAGATGTGTGATTCATCAGTGAGTGGATTTTCGTCATCATGTGCTTCTGGTGGCATGACTTGGCATGTAGTGCGGAATCAAAACCCACCAACATGTTGTTGACATCCTATGCTTGAAGTGCCTAGTTCATGTCGAGAGCTGGGGTTAGATCCTTGGGGAAGGACCACAGGTGCAGAGCCTGGGGGGTTGTGGGCGCACTATCCCGCTACGTAACACGCCCTTTTAACTCAGTGGTTAGTGACTGAGTTCTAATATGCTATAAGAGCGTTGGTGACTCGGGTTTAATTCCCAGTGCTAGCACTGCAGAGGTGCTCGTGTCCTCCGCCTATCCTAGAAAGGGGGGTTGTCAAGAGACCCGCTGTGGTTACCCTTGAGAAGATCATCGGGGAAGGGCCACAGGTGCAGAGCCTGTGTGTAAGGAATTACGATTCCTTACTGGGGTTCGCCACAGCGAGTACACGCGAACAGCTCGCGTCCGCAAGCTCGGCCCACAAGTCATGTGCCAAACCAGCCCTCGTCGACCTTGTCGGCCCCAACCTGATCCCGAGTCACCCCGAACCCATTTTGACCCCGTCACCCTTGGGACTATCGAGCCCTTGACTGGTCCAACCCTCGACATTCAACCCTGGTCAATCGCCCTATATAATGCCTAGGCCTCATTTCTATCAACACTCAGTAATCACGTTCCCCTATAGTATTCTCTGCTATACTCTGAGTTATTATTCATAACATTGGGGGCTTGTGGGCGCACTAACCCGCTACGTAACACGCCCATTTTAACTCAGTGGTTAGTGACTGAGTTCTGACAGTTCAGGATAGCTGTGGACTGGTGCCAGAGCCGGAGGCACCCTCAGCATGACTCAAAAGCCTGTGTTGGAGGCACCATTGCACCAAGTCCATGCTAGCTGGAGGCAAGCTGTGGACTGGTACCCATGACGGAAGCAAGCACCCTAAGCAGTTGTTGAGGTAACCATCAGCAGCAGCATGAAGGGTTTGATCATCCTCTCCATTTGGGAGTCTGTTTTTGGGTTTCAGCAGCAGCATGATGGGTTTGTGCATCCTCTCCATTTGGGGAGTCTATTTTTGGGTTTCAGCAACAGCATGATGGGTTCGAGCATCTTCTCCATTTGGAGAGTATATTTTTGGGTTTCAGCAGCAGCATGATGGGTTTGAGCATCCTCTCCATTTGGGGAGTCTATTTTTGGGTTTCAACAGCAGCATGATGGGTTTGAGCATCCTTTCCATTTGGGGAGTCTATGGGTGGATTCTTACGAAGTTGGATCCATACCAAAGCTGGCTCTACTTCCATTCGCAGCGCAGCACACGTGCAAAGAATGCAACTAGTATTGGCGTATCGGGGGCTGAATAGGGCAAGCTAGTATTGGCGTGTGCACCAACTGTGGAACACAATTTTCTCGCTCACAAATTCCGTGAGAAATTGGAAGTTACCAAGCTCGCTTTCCATCGGGCTTGACGAATCATCCAGCCAATCCGGTTGATGTGTGATGTACACTAGATCCAGCTTTGGTTGGACTAGATCCAACTTTGTGTAGATCCAACTTCGTAGGAATCCACCCTATTTTTGGGTTTCAGTAGCAGCATGACAGGTTTGAGCTGTCAAGATACACGCTAGGGTTGCCCTTGATCCTCGGGAAAGGGTCATAGGTGCAGAGCCTTGGGCAGGGTCCTCCTTAGCAGACAAAACCCGTCTGTTTGTCTTATTTTCAGACACGATTTTTTGCTTTATTCTGATTTTTTAGAAACTTCATTTTGAAGATTCTGAAGGGTTAGAAATTGTATTTTTATGTTTCTGAATTTCCAGAACGTGTACTATGGTTCTTCTGACATTCCAGAGATAGCGAAGCATTCCTTCTGAAAGTGACTCTTTCGGTGGTCCAGCCCCCCCCCCCCCCCGCGCCCCCTGTAACTTGGAGTTTCCCCAGAAATTTCCTGTAGCCCCAGACTTGCACAGAAGGCCCACCCATGCATCACGTGATGGCAATGTGCTGGCAGCAATACGGCATCTTCGCTGCCACTGTAGAGTCATATCCTGCCCTCGCGGAGACGACTCAGCGACAGCAAGCTGCAGCTCTCGTTCTCATTGGTGCGCCGTGCACAGCAGCATAAAGCCACGCAACCATCTGCCCACCGCACGGTCCTCACTTGTAGGACCATGCACGGCTGGCTGCCTCCGACATCGGAGGCACATTCCTTGCCGATCCCTTACGAAATGCAGAGGCGGCTCGGGAACGGAAGAATCGGAGCCGATGGTGAGTTCGTCTTCTCCATCCTTCCCTCCCACAGCTCACCATCACCCCCACCAGAGGCCCCACGGCAGTTTGATTTTCCAGTCGTCGTGCTAGCTCTTCGTAGGTTTGTTTCAGCGACCCATATTTCCGCCGTGCATCCAGTATCTCGCCATGGATGCAGGCGCAGTTGCATACCGCGCAGGTACTCCTGACGGGGCATACTCAAATGGCCCATACGAAACTAGGCCAGTAACAGGCTTAGATCTTATACGAGGACCGCCGAGTAGAGTAGCTAGAGTACTTCCGCCACTTCCGCAGCAGCGAACGTCCCCGCCTCTGGAAACTGGCCGGGACCTCGATGAGGATGCGGGTGAATCCCTCCCGCACAGTAGCCCACCCGCCATTCCACGCTCTCCACCGCGTTCCACCCCATCTCCGCCGCCTCTCGCTGCAGGCAAAACCGGGCCGCTCCCGTCCAGGCACACCTCTGGGCGCTTCACTCAGAGTACAATTCGATTCGCCCGCACTCGAGTTCCGCACATCCGTCTCTCTGCGTCCCGCCCGTCATCTAATAGCGACCCCACAACTTCAGACACAGCGGCAGCGACTACGACAACCAACAGCCGAAGCATCCTCGTCCCGGACCCAGACGCTCTGCTCGAAACCCTCAAGGCACGGGCTGCAGAGAACTGGACTCGCCTTTTCCCTTGGCTTGTCATCGACCAGCGCAAGGATGGGAGGCCATGCATGAAGTGCAGCATCTGCATGGCCCACGCCCCTCCTCACTGGCAGTACGGGAAGTACGGTGAGGGTGGCGTCGACATTCAGAAGCAGACGATGAGGAAACACGCCCAGAGTAAGAAACACGAGCGCGCAAAGGAGGATCAGTTGCAGCTTGAGGCCACGAGGGCGGCACAGAGAAGTATTACTGATTATGAGGAGCCAGAGACTATGACTGCACGCTTGAAGCAGCTTATTGCCATAGTTATATGGATATGCCGTGAGGATGCACCCATTGCACTGTATGTTTCTCTCTTGAGCTTGCTATTCCAGCTCAAAACGCCGAACATCCCGAAGAAGGCCGCGGGCACCTACCAGTCAGAGTAAGTTCGTATGGTGTTTCCGTAGTGTCTTGACCACATTCTAACACCATCTTTTGTGTCTTGCAGGTATGGATTTCGGCAACTCACGGAGGCACTGGTCGTCTACCTCCATGCACGCCAGATGAAGCACATCCTCGCGACGCCATTCGTCGGGATCCAGTTGGATGAGAGCACCGATCGGCGGCGCGGGAAGCACATGATAGTCTACTTGACATTCCTCAAGAGCGGCCGCGTCATCACCAAATTCTACGCGCATCTGACCGTCGAGAGGTGTGACGCTGCATCACTGCTCTCAACACTTCTGACTCACCTTGAGGCAACCGGACTCGACCTGCAGAGGATCTCCGGCATCTCGACTGACGGGGCTTCGGTGATGACGGGAGCATCACGCGGACTCGTTGCGCAGTTGCGCGAGCGTGTTCCGCACCTCGTGTCCTACCATTGCATTGCGCATAGGTGAGCGGTTATTTGCGTGAGCTTGCATGATCCATTTTTAACGAGTAAAACACTAACTGCTGCATCCTTGCTTTGCTGTGCAGAGAAGCGTTGGCAGCCAAGGATGCTGCCAACAGCAACCCTGATTTGGGAGTGGTCGACAAGATGGTGCGCTCCCTCGCAGACATTCTAGGGCGCAGCATCGTCGTCCATTCCCGCTTCTTCGAGCTTTAGAACTACATCCACCAGACGCAGCTCGAGATGCAGGGCATCAAGGATATACGCTGGCTTTCCCGTGGTGAGGCAATTCTGAGACTCTGTGATGTGCTCCCTGCGGCTATCTTGCTCCTGCGAGAGTTCGACACGAAGATGTATGAGGTGGTAACGAGTTTTAAGTTCCATTTCTTGTTGTTTTTCCTCGCTGACCTTCTAACAGTTCTCAACGATCTGAATCGCAAGTTCCAGCGCTGCGCGGTAAGCACTCGACCTCGCAAATGTTTATCACTACACTGGGTTGGTCTCTAACTCCCACACCCTGTAACGATTGTCTCAGGTCGATGTCACGAAGGTCAGCACCATCGTTGAGAACACATGCAACGTGTTGCGAGCGCGCTACATCGACTACGGGGTGTGCTTCGGCGAGGGGAGCATGAAGCTGACGGGGTTCCTCGACGACCATGGACCTACCAGCAAGCGGATCGTCACGGTGGATGGCTTGGACTCTGAGGGCAACCCTGCAACGCACACCTTCCGCCTTCACGAGAAGCAGCTGAAGGATCAAGTCAGCCTCGGAGATCTCGAGTCCTGCATTGCCCTTGCCTCCCAGTTTGCGCAGGACGTTATCACCAACCTGGAGACCCGCATGGCAAGCCTCAGCACACTCCGCCAAGCTCTTCTTCGCCGATGCCTATCCCGACAACTACGCCCGGCTCGATCGTCTCTGCGCCGAGTGGTTCGCATAGCTGAAGCAACTCTTCAGCGCTGAGTCGTGTAACATGCTAGGTGAGTCTGCTGGCTACTTTGCACAGCTAAATGCATGTATTATGCACTCTAGGACCGACTTCAATGCTAATGCCTTGTTAGTTTTACACGTCTGCATAAACCCTGCCCCAGGCGTCGACTGGGCTGCGGCCGAGCGTGAAGTGAAGCCCTCCTCACGCATGATGTTCAGCCATTACAAGGATCACTCGTTTCTCAACTGCCTCAAGAACGTCTGGCGCTCGTCGGACTGGCTAGCTACCTACCCAAACCTAATCAGGATCTGGGTGGCTCTCGCCGTTCTCCCACTCAGCACCGTTGAGTGTGAGCGCGGCTTCAGCCGCCAAAATGCTATCAAGTCCTGGCTTCGCGGTAACCTGTGCGATGCTCGCCTCTCGGACCTGATGTGCGTGTTCCTTCTGCAGTACGATGTCGTTCTGGATGATGTCCTGGAGATGTGGCGGAGGCCGAAGAAGCGGCGCCCAGCCAGAGAAGTCAGCATGCC